CTGCTCCAGTATCGTTTCTAAATTACTGTGTATAATTATTATAAAAATATTCTTCCCTTTTTTATATTTATTATAAAAATATTTTTTCTTCTCTTTTTCTCTTTCTCTCTCTTTTTTCTTTTGCACAGTTATCACAAAACCTTTTTTTCATGTTATTAAATTTATATATATCGCACATTCAATTAATATGATAAAGAGAGAGTTTTTTATATCTATTTTTTTAATAAAAGAGAGTAAAAAATAAGATTCGTTCGTTTTGTTTGCAATCTCTAGAAATTTTTGCACTTGAAATAAAATAAATGTTTTAGCATTGGAGAAAGAAAAAAACAGAAAATATCAATGTAGAAAGTACAAGCAAAACAAACATATAAATAAAATCATGACTCACTCTTTGTTGATAATTTTTCATCTATTCATCCTTGCATCGATTTCCAGGAGAAGTTCCTTCGACGCTACGCCTTCCGTAGATATTTATTTATTTCTTTATTTCGTCTGGAATCCATGATATTCACACATTCACAGTCGACTGACGCAGGATACGATGATACTTCTTCGTTCGATCACACAATTTCGCACCGATATATGATTTTCCGGATTATTTCTCGCGTAATAACACGCGTCACACTTTTCGAATTTGTTCACGAAACTTTCGCGAATATTCGGATAGCTTCGACTCGATTCGGCTAGTCTCGTCTCGAATATCGCATACGAAATACTATCCACGCATAAAATGTCATCATTTTTAGACATCGAGTTTTTGAAGAATAATGACGCGATAAGCTAGCGACATGAAATCCAACACTTTGCCCGATGGACAGCGACGAATATTTTCGCATTCGATGCAGTCGATTGTTCAATTTTGCATTGATATTTCCACTTTTCGCACCCACACACACGTCCTACGCACTACTCTTCGAATCTACGACGAACTGTCACTTCGGCATCGTTCGGCTCACTTCGGGCGGCGTCGGCATCGCCTCGCGAGACGCCATATTTCAATGTGTCCTCTTTGTTTTTCGATGTGGAATTTTCGAAGAATAATGCCGTGATGAGCTCTGAAAGTTGAATCTAACGATTCCCAGATGAAGAGGGACGAATATTTTTCCGTTCCAAACCGTCGATGGCTCGACTTTCCATCGATATTTTCACTTTTCGCGTTATTTTCCGCACACACCTACATTGTACACAGTCTTCGAATCCGTCCGCGAACTTCGGCGTCGTTCGGCTCACTTCGGGCGGCCTCGGCTCGGATATCGTGTTACGAAGTTCCAAGTAAATATTTTTCTTGTTTTCGAGAATCGAATTTTCAGAGAATTACACCGCGTTGAGCTCTGGAAGTTGAATCTAACGATTCCCTGATGGACACGGACGAATATTTCTCCGATTCAAGCCGTCGATGGCTCGATTTTGCGCCGATATTTTCACTTTTCGCGTTCTTTCCCGCACAGCAACGCACATCGTCGAATCCGTCCGCGAAACTGTCGCTCGGGGTCGTTCGGCTCGCTTCGGGCGGCCCCGACATCGCGCTCGGCTCGGCTCGGGTATCATGTTATAAAATTCCAAGAAAATATATTTCTCTTGTTTTTGAGCATCGAATTTTCGGAGAATTATGCCGTACGACACAGAGTCTCGAGATTAAATAACTCTTAAATACATCTTTTTGAGATGGAATTTCGCGAAATTAAATGTTGGAAAGCTCGAAATAAATAAATAATAAATAAATATAATAATAAATTCGAAGAAATACCGCGAAATAAATAAATAATAATAAATTCGAAGAAATACCGCGAGCCGACTATTTGCGGGCACTCTACATTTTCATGTCTCGAATTTTTGGGGAATATCACCGCGACGGACTTTCCAGCTTGGATCTAACACTTGCCCGATGAAAAGCGACGAAGATTCTCCTTTTTGAAGCCGTGGATGGCTTGATTCGACATCGATATTTTGCTTTTTCGCGTTACTTCTCATCCGGTATCGCGCGACACGACTAACTTCCCGAAATCTTTCGCGAACTTGCATCACCGCTTGAGGTCGCTTCGATTGCGATCGCTTTCATCAATTTTGAATAACTTTTCATATTATTTGAATAAGAAATTTAATTTTCTGTGATTTTCTAATAAAACGCGTTTATCGACAGATTCTTCAACATGTCTTACGACGCTTTTTTGTTGTTTTATATTGTTAATAATGATTATTCATCGAAACAAAAGGAAAGAGAACATTTAAAAATGATCACGTGATGCTTTTATATCGGGCTTTGTAAAGGCACGTATACACGAAGCTTGCTTGAAGTTGGTAAAGGCTCTGATGGAATTTCATTGGCTGTCTATTTGAATGGTTATGTTCAAAATCTCCTCTAAAGTTGCGTTCAAAAATCTGTCTCTCGGGTAGAGTAGCATTTGATCGACCAATCAGGAGAAAGAAATCTTTGTTTCTTTTCTTCCCAATAGTCGATCAAACGCTACTTTACTCCCATGAGTAAATTTTCAAGCGCGCGATAAAAGTACAAACATTTTTTAATTTTCTCTAGATAGACATTAGTATATGTTAATTATTATTTACCATAACGCTTAGAAAGTTGGTTAGGAAACGAGAATTTTTATATAGCGTAAGTAATTTCAATACGAAATAATTGAGATATTTTAAGTTTAATTATCTAAAATATTAGCGATAATAACCTAAAAGATGCACATTTTGAAAGTGATTTTGTTCCGTTTTATTTGAATTGGTAATCCTACGTTAACTTTTTTTTTTAAATGAAGGAGAAAATTTTAAATTAATATTATTAACCCCTATATATTCCATTATCTGAAAATTATCATTTCATTAGATGGAGCCTATGACTCTGGGATCACCAATGAGTAGTCCTATCCAAAGTTCTGGTACTCCAGGAGCTTCTTCAGCATATTTGCCAAGTTTCCTGTTGGGTGACACAAACACTGTTAGCATATAATCTCTTATTCTAAATTTAAAATATGTTATTGCTACATTTACTGATGCTTGTTTATCTGTAAACTTTTAGCCAACAAAAGTTAATATAATGAGCCCTCAAGATAATCCGCGCCATTTAAATATCACCAATGCCAGTCTTATATCAGCAGCTTCTTACGGAACTCCAGACTATCGGTCCAATCGTCAAAAGGCAGTATTTGGAAACACTACAAGTCCCAATACATCGCAGATGAGCACAAAGAATCATACCGGAGGGCCACCAACGCGTGGATTGTTTGACAGTCTGGAAGTTTCACAGGTGTCATCGCCATATGTATCAACTACAAATCCACCTGTCACACCTACACTTGCAAATCAGTCCAGACTTATGTTGAATACGATAAACAGTCCACTGCTGTTTCCAGACACTCCAATAAATTTGAGCACGAGCGAATCACAGGGTTTGCTGCAATGGGTAACCGTCTTTGGTTTTTTGCCGACTGATATCAATGCTGTTCTATCTCATATCTCCAGTAGAGTTCGCATAGTGGACAAACACTCTGCTCCGCAGCCTCAAAGCAATTGGATACACTTGAAATGTGCATCGGAGCAGGAAGCACAGAGAGCTCTCACGTGCAACGGCAGTATCGTTTCCGGCTCGATTATGATTGGTGTCATACCGTGCACAGATGAGGGCGTTATTCTAGGTTGCTCGGATAAAGAGAATCGTACTAAATTGAATGGAAGCATAAGATCACTTTCGACGGGCAGAATCGAACGAGTTTCAATGTATAATTGTAATGTATCACCTATTACGAGACGACGAAAGTTAAGATCTCTGGCTGCGGGTTATAATCAGCATTTCAGTCCACAAGCTACGCAAACACCAGAGAATGTTCCACAAAGATCAACCGGTTTAGTTTCTAGAGCAATGGAATATATGTTTGGTTGGTAATTTTTCTTTTCTATCTGATAATTTGATAAATATACTCTGTTTCTGAATTTTAATATTATTGGATATGTAAAAAATTATATAAGAAAAGGAATTATAAAAGATATCTTAACCTCTTCTAAAAGAAAATTTTTAACTCGAGCATGAAATTATTTCTGGTGTATTCTTAGAATAAACTTTTTGATAACTTTAAAAGTCATTATGATCTCTCTATGATATAATGAATATGATGTCTATTACTTTTTTTAAATACATTACTACAATATCCATATTATATTGCATTTGTGTACATATCTTTATAATTATACAAAATGGCTAAAAGTCAGAGACATTAATGTATAAGACTAATGTCTTTTTTTGGATATTATACATATATTACTAATAAATAATGTTATTAATTCTATAGAAAACTTGAAATTATAATTTTACCAGTTCTTTTTATACTATATTAATATTAAATTACAAAAAATAAATGAGAAAGAATTACAATAATAACTCTTATTTGTTACAGCAATTATAATAACTATTATATTTTTATATATTTTATATTTTTATATTTTATAATTAATACATTAATAATTCTATCCCCTCTAAATGGTTTTAAATTGTTTTAAGATTAAAATTTAGATATAATTTTCTACAAAATATAAACAGCCATTTACACAAAATTAATCAATTAATTAATTTTAAAGTCAATTTCATATGTTTATCTTATTTATAAATAAAACTGAGAAGTTATCCCAGTCTCTACTACTACATTACTTTTGCTCAATTGTAGCACTACCTAAATCAGTCATCTTAGAGTATTTTACTTTTTTCTTATCTAATTCATCTTGAGCCCACAGTATCATTTTTAACAAATTACTGAGCCGAGGGCTAGTTGATTCTCTATGCTCCATCTTCAATATAGCAGCATTCAACTCGCTTGCAATCTACAATGAGAAAAATTAAGAAATAATTTGTAAAATTGATTTAGCAAAATAAAATTTAGCTCACTTTTTGTCTATGTGTTGGATGTAAAAGATCGCTGAAAGGACTCTTATGCGGTTCATCAAAAGCCAACAATGCCAAGGTACGTTCTAACTCGCACAATATATTATCGTCTGACTCTCCAGCTTCGCTAAGTTGATCCTGCGCAAACTGCAATGCTTCCTCGACTCTACCAGTGCGTATCAATTCTATCAGGTGTAATTGTTGCAGATGAAAGTAGAGATATCTATCATTATCCAACAATTCAGGATGCAGTTGGTTCACCAAATTCGTGGCTTCTTGAATACGACCATTTTGTATGGCGTCTCGAATACGAATTCTCTCATCCAAAGAGCTCAGTTCTACCGTTGGACCCACTCCCGATTCCTGTTGGAACTTCTCAGCAGCTTCCTTGAAACCTTCTAAGTAAGAAAATATTTATTTATCCAGACAAATCACTTACAAAAATAAAACCGTGAAAAAGAAAGAAGCTAAAATTCCCCCCACCTGTCACCAGATAATTCATGATTAGGTTATTCATTGACAGTTTTTGCATATAGGCGCTCTCCTCCAGCTTCACCACCCACTCATCCTTAAGTAGGTTGTCGTCTCCTTTCTCAGATGAGCTCATTATCTTTGAAAAATTCGGCTCAGATTGTATAAAAACACTTATAACATTATGCTCTATCTGTTAGAGTTCTCGAAACAGCTCGAAACAGCTCGCAACAGCTGATTCGTTCGAAACGCGAAAGCTCAATCAAAACAAAAGGAATTGTCACTTTTCCCAAGCACAATTCTCGGTAATTCTACGTCTTACTCAAAAAAAAAAAATCGCACAATAAAAAACATATACGGAATATTTGCCGGGGTAAAAGTATAATTCTACGACGCAAAGATATTCTAAGCAATATAACTTGCTGTCCTTAATAAGGAATTCGGAGCAAAATTGAGGACTTGGAACACGTAAAAGAAGAGTAAGAACGCAATTGGCAGGTAGCGAACCGACCAATCAGAGTAGAGCATTCTCAAACTTGTAATCTAGAATGCTCGATTGCGATTGGTCGATGCGTTTACTAATGTGAGTTTACGTTCTACCTTTTTCTTTTGTTTTAGTCGCAATGTTCGCCGAGAGAGGACGTTTAGTGTACGATTAACGAATTTTTCTTTTTTATGCACACGAGACGTCCGAGTAAGGATGAGTAAGGTATAAAGATATATAATTATTACATTATTGTTACACGTTAGATGTAAATAGATATTCACATTGTGAAAAAATAACGATTCTCATGAGTTTTATTAATCTTGTAAATTGGTAATGTCTCATCGCGGTTATGCTGCGTATCAAAAAAATTGTAAAAATTGAGATGCTCATTGTATAAATTAAATGTGTATGTTAACGTTTTAGTATCTAAGATAAAAAAAATGAAGCAGTGATATAGTTAAAAAGAATAGATTTCTTTTATCTTCTATCTTTCTTCTATACATGCATTTCCTTTTATTATGACGCAATGCCGATTTCGCGCATGAATTTTTTCTAAAAATTGAAGAGAGAAAAAAGAGGCGATATACATGTATAAAGATATACATCTCTTTTGGGAAATACGATACGCAAATGCTGAAAATGAAATATGCACGCAAATTTTGCTTTCCGGCAAGAGAGATCCGATAAAAATTGCATTTGCATGGAAATAACGTCGAAGCGTCCGCGAAGCGCAAACGCTTCTCGCTTTGCCATTTTCATGAATGAAACCGCTCCTGTTTCATATCAACAGGCGTCCTTTACTACGCAGCGGGAACATCGATCCGTTCCTTCGGGACCATCCCTCTTCCACGAACTCATTACATTTCACGTTGTTCAGGATCGTATAGCGAGAGCCCAATGCCACGCCGGCTATTAAAACGCTCGATTGCGCTTTTAATTCGCAAATGTATCAACTAATTTTACCTTCGGGATTATACCTCTAATCTATAGACGTAAGTATATATAAATATATCCCTTACACCTTACAAAATACTATTAACAATTTTTTTCTCGATATCTGGACCGTATATATATATATTCTTTTAACATGATTATATAAAATCTAAATGTTATTGTAACATAGACAAAGATTTGGTCAAATGATTAATATCAAAAATTTATTTTTTTTTGCAACATAATTATTAGAAATTTCTTCAACAGGAAAGACATTTTCTTCCTACAATTTGAATTATTTTGAGATTAATCTTGATACTTTTTCTTGATTATGCGTCATTAATTTTTTAATTTTATTATTTAAATAAAGGACATTGTCCATTATTTTAATTTTCGACTATATTTCATGTATTTATCGAAACTCAGTCATAGTGGAGATGTTTACTTTCAGCGCTCCATTCAATCGAGTCCATCGAGTGTCATAAAACAACATACACGTGTTATCCGGTTTATGACACATGTCGTCGACATCACAACAAACGCTCTTTAATCTGCTGGTAGATAATGCGAGTAAATAGATCTCGAAGGGGCACGAGACGCGGGTCGTATGACGTCACTGTATTCTCACCCCGTCAAGAGGGGTGAAGAGAACGCGACCGTCCGCCCCACCATCATCCCTCTCTCTTTGACCGGCCGTGCCACGGGGATTCGCCACTCGACTGGCTCAAAGACTGACGTCAATGGGAGCCCGGCCTACAGGGGGACGCCGATACTCGACCAAGACTTACGCGATTTTACGAAACTCTCGCGATTATATTTGGCCAGCCAGCCTGATCGAAGTTCAACAGAGGCAAAAAATTCACAGGCTATCTTTTTCTTCTCTGTGGAAAAGGCGTAGATAAACCGGAAACTTGGCCAATATCGCATGCTATCTATTTTCTTTTATTTGTTCAATTTTATCACTTACTCTTTAGTTGTATGCAAAAGTCGACCTTGTGCGAACTGGACGAGACGGGAAGCGATGTAATAGAGAAAACAGATGAGAAAGATTTCTGCGTAAAAAAATTTTGCTCGCGCAGAGAACTGAATAACAGAAAGAATATTTCCGTTAAAATTAAAATAAAAAATTATCCGGAATATTCTAAATTTTTTTCTATTTTTTTTATAATTTTTCTTCAAGAGATGCTACAATTTAGCATGCTATACTACTCTTTTAAAGCTTTTTGAATTTTTAAAATAGACTTGTATTTAATCTTTTTTTTTTTTATCAATAACATTTGCTATTTTACCAGTTTGTTTGCGGTTTAAATTATGAATGGTAACGTATCGCGAATAAATCGTTGCTATTTTCAGCCTGAAGAAAGAAAACAAGTCGACGTGAATGCGAAAGTAACGTAGCTCGTAAATCATTGCGGGCAAATGGTAGCGATAAGATTCTTCAGGCGCATCATTTATACGCGAGAGGGAGAAAAAGAAAAGTGGAAAGCTCATTATGCTTCCGGATTAAGGTTGCTACGAGAGTACTGTGTACAGCGCAAATGAAGAGAGACTTAAACAAAATGTAGAATCCTGTTTCTTTGTAGTCAACAAATTTAATTACTTTTGAAGAAAAGCATAGAAAATATTAAGAGAGAGTCGTCTTGATAGTTGGCACAAATTTAATTAAATTTTCTAGTAATAACAAATGTACTTAACTGTTCGTTATCTAAAATTTAATTAAAAAGATTGTTTGGAAAGTTTTCGATGTGATTCTTATAACTGGCATTCGGCGCAACCCTTTTAATGTCAAGTTTTTCAATTTCTATTCGTAAAAGCAAAATTCATTTATTGACTAGAATTGTTCAATTATTCAAATCATTTAACATTTGTGGGAATAGCATTGTGGCTTTAGCGCTTACTGGAAACTTTTTCCGGAAAACTAAGGAATGTGAATTTTTTCCATTCGACCCCAAGATAATGTTCTTGCGTTTGATTACAGATCGAGAGAGAGAGAGAGAGGATCGGAATAAATACGTGCCCTTATTTTTCCACGACTGACATGAAACGCTCGGCGCGGACTCCTGTAATTTGCCGGAAGCGCCGGCTGCACTTGTCCACCTCGTGTTATGTATCCGCGCAATGCCAATTTGCGCAAGCGTGTTGCAGCGGCTTGTGATAGCGACGACGACGCTAACAAAAGTAGGTCAATTACGTTGCGAGGGCGGATGCACCGGGAGAGGCGTCGCAGCCTGAGGTGGCGAAGTAGAGAGCGACGACTCGCCTCTCGAAAGTAGGGCCGACCCAATGAAACGACGCGACTACTTGTTATATCACGAGAATATCGAGCCCGGGAATGATTCTTTTCCGATCGTTATCGCTTGAGGAATCGACATGATCGCGTACTCTCATACCGGAGATACGAATGGAAATAATCGCCAGCGATTTGTATTCATCGCGCTTGTCATTTACGTCGATGATTCGATCGATGGGCTTGCGAATCCGGCGGCAATTTTAATTTTAACGAGATATCCGCGAGGGCGTCTGATCGATTCGACACGCAGCTTCTACGCTCGATTTAGTTCTTCGATATTGCTTCGTGCTGTCGTTTGATAAATACTGATTGGTATAAAAGTTCTTTCGCTTTAGATCGTTCTATTTATAAAATTAATAAAGAAAATTGATTTGAAGAATCGAAATATATACGCAGAAAGTATGTCACATAACATTATAAATAGAATATTGTTTTGAATTATGTGTCGCGAATTTGTAGATAATTTAAAATGAGTTTTAAGCGGATGAATTTAGTTATCAAAATCAAAATCACGCATAAAGTAGCGCGAATACAACGTGTATATAGTTAAAATAAATATTATTTCAAGGTAAACACTATTTACACAACACGCGCAAAAATAATCTACGTTTATAGCCTTCGTGTCATTTTTCGTTTCATCCGTCAAGAGTACCTTCACAGCTACGCGAGTGTTCATCCGTTGATGTTATCGGACGTGATATTACTTTAAGTGCAACAACATCACTCCCAGGAGTTTTAGATGTATTCCAAGAGTCGCTTTTATTTAGAGACATTTCTTCTACCAAACAGAGATTCCTATGGTCATGTACCGACTCTTTGCAAAGATAATAGACACAGTTTCTTCAAAATCGCCCGAAAGAATACTTTGCATATAGCGAATCCAAATAGATAAAAAAAAAATTTCCAGACTCTTCTTTTTAAGATGAAGAAAAGGCGAGTTATATTCTACTATTTCGCTCGTTATTTTCTCTTTTTCCTAAATTTACTTGAACATAACACGATATGAAAGTAAATGTTTGATAAATGAAGATAGATTGAGAGGATAGATAATGTCCCAGCTGAAAATATATACGTCTTTACTCTTTCTCTAAGTATGTATTATTATCATAGACCATAGAATCTCGCGACTTGCACGTCACTGTTTCAAATGCCAAAGAAAACTACTCTTGTGACGTTTGCGTAACGTCACATTAAAATTAAAGACAAGTAGATAACGTCATCATAGCCAATATATGACGCAGTGGGGTTGCTATGTCCGATATGGTGGTGCTTTAACTTTCTATTAATTCTTCCGAGAGTTTCCGGGCTTCAACTCTACGTTTCATGCACTATAGTACAACGTCGACTTTTCTTTTTAACAATTTTTATTTTTAATTTAATACTATATTAATAGCACAAATACAAGATTATTTTTATAAGAAAATTTTATCTTTATAAATTTACACAGGAAATTATAAATAAAAAAGAAGCCCCATAGAAAAATAGCTTTATGGAATACATAAATAGTTGCATACTTTTTTACGATTTCTTTTCGATTTTGTGCTAAGATGAAGGCTGCATTCATTCAAGAAGAGACGAACCGTATTTGTTAAATGGCCGTGTTGAATTTCATTCAAGGGCTGGCAGAGAAGTGTAAACGGGACCTATGCCCTTTCGTCAAAGACAAATACCACTCAGGTTACAGAAATATTAAATTATAGCAGAGCGATTTATATTGCCTTATAAAAAGAATGCGCATTCTTCGCGCACAGAATTCATTCATTCATTAATATCACAAAAACTACGATAGCTTGATATGAAAAGATTTCAAACAAACTTAAATCTTTTAAAGATTTATAAAACCTTCATTATATATATATATATATCTGATTGATGCAGATCCTCATGTTACAACTACTAAACCGATGATAGCAGCCGCAAACTTCGCACTTTGGATAACATCGGCTGACAGGTTTTCGACAGCAGAATAACAACATAATCCCCACGCAAACGATCCTTACGAGGCCATGTAGAGAAACGGGATCCATCGGGAAGACGCAGTTGGGTCATCGCGTGGGCAGACGTCTCTCTTATATCACGATGGGACCATGTTTGCGCACCCATACGGATGTACGCGTACATATATATCTCGATGTCGTGTGCGAGGAAACGCAGCGCGCGCGCAGCCAACAGCGTCGTCGTAGGGTGCTCACCACCGCGAGTCGGGAGATGGGGAATGCTCGTTCACCAAGGTGGGGGTTGGTTGATCGACCGTACCCGCTTTTCTACTCGTCCTGCCGAGCCCCGACATTCATTCCACCCCGAGCCGGCGGATCCACTAGGACGTGCCCGTTCTCCAGCTCGGTGCCAGCCGAAGGATCAGCGAAGGACCATTCAAGACGAAGGAGAAAAGCGTGAAGGGTAACCCAGCGTTCGCCACATCTCGCAAGGTAAATGAGATCTTTTAATTTTTTCATGTATATTATTATTTTTTATTCTCGATTTCGACTAATCATCCGGAAATAAAATTAGAATCCTGAAATTCGAGTGACTCGCGATATATATATATATATATATGTAATTATAAACGCATTCTATACCGTCCGCTTGTGTGCGGTTGGCTGCCCTTAGCGCATTCATACAGGTAGTTGCGCGACTACAAATTAAAAATTTTATTTTGTTAAATACTATTAAATTTTGAATAATATTCGTAACATTTTATATATATTATTATGTATTAAGTATTGGGTTGGAAAGAAACTAATGTCGTATTCTCAATAGATGACTTTAGTCTGTTTTATTAGAAACAAAAAAAAATAAAAGTAAAAAAGTAATAATGATATTACTTTCCTTCCAATTTAATATTATGACAGACTTAAAAGAACTTGCTGGTTCTCGGGATTAAATGTAACTTTATGCTTCTTTCCATATCTCTTTGAAATAATAATGCTTTTTATCCATTCTCGTTACAATTGAAACTAATTAACATTAATAAGGCGATTAAAATGGAGAGAGAAGGAGGCATTTATCGCACGCAGATTTGTCAATGAAATTCCTATTCAATGAAATGCATTTTTAATTAAGCGACTCGCCTAACCATATAAGCTCGGATACGCTCGTATACTGATAAATGACTATAGTATTTGTAGATGCAACAAGTGTACGATTTCTAGGTCTACTATATCCGGTTTGACGTTACTGTACAGGTCGCTCTAATTATCAAACTTTGTCGTTTATTTCGGACAAATATCAATATTGGGAGCGTAATTTCCAGGCGTTTAATCCATTGATCGTTTAATGCGACATTTTAACATAATGAAATTATCGTAAAAGCGATTAATTCTGGCAATAATTTTTCTGAATGTTTTATATATATAAACATTATTTCAATCTAAAAAAAATCTTAAAAATTAGAGAGAAAAATATTTTAATATTTTTTAATATTTGATGAATGTGATTTTAATCGTATGTTTTATAATATGAATATACATGAACATAAATTAAATGACATTTATATTATAAAAGTTTACTGTAAAATCTCTAAAATGTCAGAGGTATAACATGAATTTTTTTAGCTTTATATATTTTTTTTATAACTGAAAATCTGATTAAACTTTCTGTATTTTGTATTGCGTAACCCGAGCCATTTGCTACGTGAAGCTGCGCGAGATATAATAAGCGAACGTGTCGCACAGAGTACTGTAAATACGCAGTCGCATAAATGTATATACATACATGTATCGTTTCTGTACGCAATTTTGAACTCTGACATTTTGTTATTGTTGTGTGTTCGCTACTCTCTGCCAGCCATTTCCAGCATCACTGTTAGAGTTCACGTAATTACACGTGTTAACTTACTAGGTCTCCGTAATTCATTAATGAGAGATCAATTGAGAGCAATTAAAACGTAACTCGATCGCGCAACATGCGGAATTATTGCAGTATAGAGTTTCTCTGATATCTAATGACTTCTCTAATAAACAAGTTTGATATCGATGCATGACAAATTCGAATTCTCTAATTGCGTATAACTCGATAAAGTTTCAAAAATATCGATTAAAGATTATCGCATTTTTAAAGTCCATGTTTTAGAATATTTATTAATATTTTGTAGAAAATTCTTTTGTACATAGAATCGCATTGACACATGATAAAACCAAGTTCGATAAAAAGCACTTGATCAAGTTACACACATGTGACGTAGCAGCTGCAAACTCTTGCGCTTATACGTCATACGGAAACGTCATAGTCGAAGAAAGTAAACCGCGTCGATTATGAAGCCGTCAGATAAAGTAGTGGCGTCATACTTGAAGAAATTGTATCGCTTTATCGATTATAGAACATCCCCTTCCCTCCACGACGTAATATTTTTATATAACCGCAAACATAAGCGAGCCCTTATCGAGCGCCCTTATTGCTCTTACTTAATCTTTTACGCACCGTGGGAATAGACTCTTGACATTTCGCATTACATGACATTTGGTCTTTATTTATACGAGATGACCCCTCTAGAATTATCTTCAATATTCCTGTACACGAAAAGAGAAAGAAGAAAGTATCGCGAGGTTTTAATTCTTAAAATAACGCGCGAATGTATTATCGTTGATAAAAATTCCGCAAACTCTGTCGCAGATGACGTACAACTGGGCGTGGTTGCTGCTGCTGTTCTCGCTAGTCTCGATAGGCATGTGCTTGCCCACGAGCTTGATCGAGGACGTGAAAAAAGCGGATCAGGCCATGAAACCAAAATGTAAGATCCGAGGAAATTAATTCTCGCATTCCACGTTAAACTTGTACTAAAAATCATTCGAATCTCTTGATTTCAATACTTTCCATTACTTTCTGTTTTTTCTCAATATTGCGCTATGTCATTTTTAGCGAAACGAGCGCAGGAAATGCTAATGTTTGGCAATCAGCAGAATCGACAGGCCAACCCTGCCACCGGTGAATCTTTCACGTCGAATGCAGAGAAACGTGAGTATATTGCTATAAATAAAACGCTGCCATAATACGAGATAAATATAGTACGACCATTCTGAAACATTTGCATTTTTACATGCTTAGGAACTCTTGCTTCCTCGGGATTGGGAGGCTTAAAAGCGGCTATTGCCGAGGACGAAAAGCCATCCCAGTCCAAATCGCCTAGCAACTCTATGTACGAGCATGAGACGTATTCGCCGTACGACAAGAATTACGAGTAAGTTTCTGATTCTTCCGTAAAATCAAATTTAAGTATATCGAGTCATATCACGATCTCTAAACATAATCAATAAACAAAATAATTTTTTAAAATTTTAATAATATAATACCTTAAATTACATTAATATCTTTTTTGGAAACCTTCCTATATAATAACTATTTTATTATAATTTTGTATATTATCTCTCTCTCACTCTAAATTTTTGATCGAATATAATATGTGTTTCAGCTACGGTAAAGTCCTCATGAACGAGGTCGAGGAGGATGGACCGCGCGTGTGGGATGTACCGCCGTATTCTCGATACTACACGGGCGAGGATCGGCGCAAGAGATCGGAAAAGTCCACCGCGACGGCACAGCCGAGCATCTCGACGTTGCAACCTCCGACCAACTCGTACGAGTTCAAATCGAGACGTCTTGTACCTACCCAGCAACTGGTGCAGGCTCAAGTTAAGAGGAGGTAAGTGGCCGCGTCCTACTTCTCCTAATTCCGAAATCGATAACTGACGTGATCGATACCTCCAGGGGCAACCGTTATTAGAATGCGGTAGATAACGAAATCCTCTCGAAAGGGACACAAAAAATGAGTTTTATAATCATTTCATTGCTCGCAATCCGTTTTTATTTGACGGAAGCAAGAAATCATTTGTTTGGTGAATGATTTGCGCGAGACGATTAATTTTAAAACAACTAACACATTAGATTGTCATCGAAAATATGATGAAACATCGGGAATAAACGACGCGAAATAAATTGTACAAAATTACGCAATTGCTTTTTTTTTCTTTTAGAATTTTAAATTGCAATAAACTTTCGAGCGTCTTTAATATCGCGGAGTTGAGCGTGCAGTTGAATTTGGAACAACAGGGACTCCCCACGTAAAGAATGGATCGACTCGACGGCGGCGACGGCGGCGGTTATGCATCACCATGCGCGCCCTTTCCACCCTTCCCGCCCACCAAGCATCCCTCTTTTCCTCCGGCATTTCTTCTGAATGGGGGATGAGAGGGCTCGTGAGGGCGTTGCCCCCTGGCGTAGGGACGGCGGCGGTCGACTTGACGACCGAAGTCATATCGAACCACTTGCAGAGAGAGGCTGTCGTCATCGGAGAACGTATCAGTAGCGTACGTTCGACTGGTGCCCTTCGAAAATATAATCAAACGAAATCCTCTTGCGCATTTTGCGCTTGCATATGATCTTCATGAATCGATCGATATACATCGGTACTCGTTTTTCGAAGAACAGAAACGATTCCCAATACGATTAGAAGATACGAATTAATCGACGCGATCTCGATTATTATATCCTTGACATGTTACTCGAAATGATTTTACGACGCTTGATAACAACGTGACGTTATGTTTTGTCGAATTATCGTGCGTGGTCGCAAGATAAAAATACGCTTTTCCGGAAAGTGCAATGCGGATTTATCGAGTGGCGAATCTAATTTCAGGAAATCGCGTGAACACGAACGCTCGATATCAAAGTCGTAAAAGCGGGCGAGCGCGCGCGCTTTGCACGGAATTACCTTAGATCGGCGTGTTTAAAATTAAACACACACACGAGACTTTTATCGAGCGCGAACATAATTATCGCTTTAAACTTAGCCGTCGCCACTGTTATTTTTACACGAAGAATGTACAAGAATGCACACGGCCTGATCGTCGCAAATGTCATAGGTCACTTCGCCGGGGACGATTAATTTTTCCTCGATGAAATTCTTATAACACGATAACCGCGCGCATACAGTTTCCATTATGCTCAACGCGATTACATAACGCATTATCCTTAGACCAGCGCCATAATAATAGAAGCACTTGGGCGTTGTTCAAGAACACTTTGAATATATTATCATGAGAAAATGCGTGCTGCACTCAGCATTAAAAATCATGATAAATTTCATGTTCTTATCTTTTTGATACGGCGTATAAATCCCGCTTACAGTTAATAATCTTTATGTTTTGTTCCGGATATATTACTAGATTAAAAATTTCTCCTATTAAGATTTTCCGAAGAAATAAATTTGAGCACAAAAATCGCGATATTCAATTAATTCATAAAATGTTCTTCACAGTTTCTGACATTTCGGCTAAAGAAAACAGTTTACTTCAAAGTGAAAATTCGAAAAATTATAACTAGAATGAAAAAATTGGAGATTTCATTTTGTTTATAACAAAAATCCCGTTCTGCTTAAAAGATCGCTATTGTTCCCACGAATTAACGATTTGTGCATTCTCGGCTCCTGGACCATTCGCAGAGGAAGATAATTCTAGCGTGCAGCAAAATATAAGCACGGATAGAGATTTAAGCGATATACGTATGCGTGCACACGGATGCAAAACGCATACACACACGATCACACATACGGAGAAGAATTTGGTGCAGTGCACGAATCGCTCGATATGCGTGACGCAGGTGATGGTGGTGGTGGAGTATCCGCGGGAGTGGGCCCACGAAAAGCTGAATGGAGCCGGGAAGGCGAAAGTAGGTCAGAGCTTGATTGTTTGGCGTATCTCCAACCAATCAGCTGACAAGCAAGCTCCACGAGTTTATCACATGAGCTTTCCGCCGATTTTTTTTCTTCTCTAGTGATATAATAATCCGCCGATGCATTAAACAATGGCCTCGTTCTCGTTCGAGGATTTATATGAAAATGTTTCGTCGAGAGAACAAATTTTAATAGGGAAAATACTGGATGTAATAAAAATTAAATTAATAGATTAGAAAATTTATAAACAATATGTTTTAATAACTAAACATATTAAGAAATATTTTTATCATATTTCTTTCATATTTTTAAATATAAATATAATTTTATATTGAACGCAGTTTTTTCACGAAATGCAAGACTATTATATAATTTGTTATCATTTGTGATAAAAATTCCAAGATGTAAGGCCATATACACAAACGCGTGCGCATAGATCGTACCTCGCAGTAGTAAAACCAAGCGTGTAATCAGCCGGAGTCTTGACGGCAGTAAAGATACGAGCCCTTACTACGTGTTGATAAACACCGAAGAGATGAATGAAAATATTCTACGAGCTTTTGGCCCATGGCCAACCAATCAGCTGATAGCGTTAGACCCTGCCAGGCATCGTATCGATCATTCTATCCCGCTGCAGATGCGATATAACTATCAGACAACGGGGTGCGTCAATCGACAGAAGGCGACAATTGTTGCCACTCGTGTTCCGCGCGATCAAGGCGTGTATTGTCCGCGTATTCGCCATTGTGTCGGGTACAAGAATGCATCGCGCTCACAAAGGATAGTTCGCGACGGCGAAATAAAACCGTTCGTGTCGAAGAACAATATTGCATTCGACATATAGGGGCGAGTTGTCGGCGATCGTCGCTGGTCGCTTTGCGTCACGGATAAGCATCGATCAATCTTGAAATATATACGTCGTACGGACAGAGCAGAAATAATGAATCCACGAAGCGATTCCGAAACGAGATTGCGAGACATTGATATGGGCGTACAAATATCGCGGAAAAAAGATGACAATTTTTGTAATTGTCCTCGATTAAATCGTCGTTCCCCCTTGACATGTTTAATACAATCGATATATAATATCTGCGATCAAAAGTTGTTCATTTATTAAGATTTTGAACTTTTAATTATTAGATTACATATTTGTAGTATCAAAGAATTATTTTTATATTTCTATTTTTAAATTCTTGAAAATCATATTTGCTGAGATATTATGCCAGCAACACAGAAACATTTATTTTATTTAAATTTTCAGCATCCCGTTCTACCAAGAACCGCGATTCAAACGGGAACTACCCTTGGACATTGATCCTGACGACGTATTGACCCTTTTGTCACTGTGGGAAAATGAACGACGTAACGGGTAATGAGATGAGCATGCATTCTTTTTTAACATTACTTTTTATAAATACACACGCACTTTATAGTGAGCTCGTTTTTATTCCATGAACAGAAACTGGCGCAACTATGCTAAAGAGGAATACGATAATATGATAGAAGACAATGATTTCCTTGACGAGGAAGGCGCTAGAAACGGTTAGTTCTGACAACTTATTTTATCTTGTATAATTAAAACGCCAACATATCTATATACAAATAAAAATGATATATAAAAAGAATGATGTAATAATTTTTTCACTAAACGTGTTTCCTATTTTTATCAAGATTTCCTTTTAGCTCTTCCATTATTAGACGCGCCAATGTATCCCTCTCGGCACTACGACACGTTGTCACCCTCCGACATCGGAATAGTCCGAACCCACCCGCCCGGCTATTATGACCAATTGGATCAACAGTATGAAGGCACCAGTCAATACGGCAGTCCTCAATATGGCAATTCGCAGTACGATTACGTTTATCCTCAGCGTGCCTACTACCCTCACGAGAAGAGGTTCATGGTATCTAAAAAGCGAATGCAGGTGAGTTAGACTTGATAGTTATCTTTAAAAGATAATTAATCATTACAGAAAATTTATGCAATTAAAAGATGAAAATAGAAATTATATATGCAAAATGTATATGAATATTTCCTTTTTTCTTAATTTGCAGAGCTACGATCCGTATTCCACGGCCCAGTTGCAATTAAGCTCCCAACCGCGAAGTTATCAATATCCCCATCGCGTTGTCTATTAAATAATCCGTGATGTGGAGTTGTCTAGAGATGCGGGAGGAAGCGAGAAATTTCTCAGACAAAAATTCTATTGAAAAAAGAAAAAGCAGTTGATGTTTCTGGGAAGAGGAGGGGGTGCTAGCACTCTTTCGATGAACGGTCCTCGCTGTCTCTCCTCTTCGACTATTCTCCCATTTTTTCGCAGGAGGAAAAAGAAGCAGATGCAATGGCGGATTTTCTCGTTCTAAGAAACACGGTGCTCAGAGAAACAGAGAGAAAGAGAGAGAGAGAGAGAGGCTTCTCGAGTCGCAAGAGTCGCGCTGAAGAATCGAGAGACGTCGATTCGTAAGGAACAAATCTTTCCTTTTTGGACTCTTTCTTATTGAACTATCTCGAAATAGATGCAAGATGTGACAAATTCGTATCTAAGATATTTTTTATCTCATGATGGAAATTTTGCGGCGACAAAGTTTGATTAGCACAAATTTTAAGAGACGGTATGCAAAACATATCAGAATCATTCGATTCAATCCGTAATATCTTGTGCTATATAAACGTGAGTTCGAAGATTCGATTAATTTCATTGAACTCTTATAATTAGTTTGATCGCAACGAGGATTAAAAAAATCAAAGAAGCTTCAGCGCGCTCTTGTCGTTCCTAACTCGCTTAATGGTAATGTTACAATTTTAAGCTCCTTTTGCGTGTAATACGAGCGATGCGCCCGTAATGACGCTACGACTGAATCATTAAACAATCGTAGTATCAAATCAAATTACCCTCAGGCTTGGTTTCGACGACTCTTTGTGACTGATAAAAAAAAAAAAATATATATATATATATATACATATATGTGTATATGAAGCGATATAGTTTCGCGCATGTGCGTTTATGAGTTAGCATGCGACTAGATGTAGGTCTATTCGTCTATTAGGCAATTCGAACGAATTAGATGAGAGAAATCGGAGAGATGAAGAAAGCGAAGGCAAAAAATGTTTAAAACAATGTTCAACATATATGTATAAAAGGGAGAGAAAATCTAGAAACCGAATAAATTTCACACTGCGCGAAATAAATTTTATTTCAGTACTACATATATATATATATCTACGACGGAAGTATAAAAAAAAGCGTTATAGAATGTTAAAATTTCTTCGTAAATTCTTGATGGCTGCGCCAAATGCAGAGTGTCAAAAATTATTGTATTATATTTACATCGTTAACTGAGAAGTGCAAACTGAACGTTGACTAATCTAACCGTGAACCGTCGTCTTATTCTACTCGTCGATATTCGTATTTCTAGAACGCAGAGAACGTTCGAATTTTGTGAGCGTAATATACCGAAGGAGTTCTTGTAAGATTTTCTTCGAACCAAACACGGCCTTCCATATTCAACACTCCGAGGAGACTGAACATCTCTATATAATTAATTAACATAGTTAAATCCGTTACATGCGTCTTTACAAACGACATACATATATAGTATACTTACTTTTATCCCTCGTCGATTTTTAATTAATTGTGTGTATCTCTTACGTTTCCCATATTATTTTTCATTTATGAGTTTTCCGAATAATGTGGAATCGACTTTTCTTTTGATGAAAGTTTGATTTGTTTCCTCTCAACTTTTTAATATTAGATACATTTGTGGCTAATTAAAATTCTATGCTAATTCTTTCTGCTAATTAAAATGCTCCAAAGTAAAAAAAAAATAGACTGGTATATGCCCTTGTAAGACTGGAGAGCACACTATAAGAATAATAGATATTTGATTACGATGAAAAACCGTTCATAGTTTCTTTCCGTATACTTTATTGTTCAGCATAACTAGATTTTTAGATTAAATATAAGTTTCGTCAAAACATTCAGGATTTGTTATGTGCAATTAATATTACACAGACGGGAGCGGTAAATTATATATATATTATATAAATAAAAAAGAATCAGCCAATCATATATATTATAGCTTTACTCTTCTCGACAAACAATCTTGCACGATCGATGTTTAAAAGCAAGTTTGCCGAAAGTATGTATTTTTATTACGTATCGCAGAAAAAGCAGCAGAACATGCCGCATATATACGCATAATTTCTTCTCCACGCGCGTAATTTCCCATTTACACATTCTGCGTCTCTTCCCGTTATTAATAATAGGGTGCACGTCAAATATTATATTGTTGTTATTAAGATTTAATGAAAACGATCTTTCTTTTAATAAAGAGATAAGCTTAAATTATTTTTCAATCACAGAGATTTAACGATGATTTATTTCATCTATGAAAGATTGTAAAAACTCAACATAATATACACTATCCAATAAAATGTCTAAAATAAAGATATCGTTTACACACATCTTCTTTTCCGAAAAAATATAAAATATTTTTGGCACACATACGTGTCTTTCGTACGTTATCTGATATAATTACTGCACTGAGGTTTTTTTTTTTTTACGAGAAAATTAATAATAATTTTTCAAACTTTTTGCGGTATCACAAGAAAATGTCTAAATTCTTGGTTTAATTTAAATTTTGTACAATATTTGTCGAGAGAAACTTTTGCGCAAAACATGCGTAAAAAAATTGCGTGACGATACAGCTATTCCTTTGATATTTTCTGCACTTTCTACGCTTAAAGTGGATATATACATATGTATATAGATTAAAATTTCTCGAATAAAAAAAGAAATTAAGTGGAGAAAAATTGTAATTAAAACAAACAGATTTATTTTGTATAAAAAAGGGAAATGCGTATTTTTGGTCCCTTGAATATCACTATATATTTTACCTTTAATTATAGGTCGTGTCAAACTACTTGGATTGTTTATTTTCTACCTCGATCGATCAAAATCAATATTTAATCAAGAACCAATTGTATAATCAAGTATAATTTAATTACGTTTGCACGTCAATAATCGTTATAACGTTCGTGTAGTACCTTATGTAGGTTATAGGTTAGATCAGAATAGGTTATGTTATAAAAACGTTTTGCAATTTCATTTTTCGCCAAAGTAAAGAATTGATGAATATATTTGAGTGGAAGAGAATATATTTAGGGCACAAGCATATTAAAGATTGCGATGTAAATTCGAGACTTGTGCAAAACATCCGCGAAAGAAAAAGATGAGCATAATTATCTCATATATAACCGTATCTGTGTAATTTATTTTTGCAAATTTTAATACAGCAATCGGACGTTTCTCCGCGAACGTTATCTGTCTTCCTTTCCTTTGGGCCGATTCTGAAACAGATTTTACAATTTTACAAAGCGATACCAAAAGAGGTTACAATGAAACTCGGTCGATATCCAGACCCACGGATAAGGACGGAAAATCTGCGGGGAAAGGGAAGGAAAATGATAGAAGCAGCACAACACTGATGCAAATCGAAACAAAGAGTTACCACTGATAGAACTCACTTTGATCTACCCGCACACAAGATTGAAAAATTTTATATTGCCCGAGACAACGAAACCACTGTCTTTTTTTTCCTACAGTTTTCCTTTTCTTTTTTTTTTTTCTCTTTAAAGTTCTCTCTCTGCGATACTATTTCGTCTCAGATGCACAATTTTGTACTCGATATGTTGCAGGCGACACGACTACTTTTCGTTGAACAAAAATTCTGAACCAAAATTTCGAATAACGCGTTTAGAAAGTTAATTTGCGACTTTAATTGCTCTTCTCTCTCTCTCTCTTTGAAAATCCACAAACCACAGAAAATTTCACCAATGTCACAGTGGCAATCTCTTTTCTTTCTCTCTTGTTATGGCCGACAATATACATAAATGACTTGACAGTCTTCCTTCCTTCCTTCGCAAACGGAGGAGGAAATTAATTCTTAGCCAACACAAGCACTTGAAATCTACAATCTACAATTTCGCGATTGTTCCCGATTGTCATTGCTCTAATCGTTGCTCAAAATATCACAGCACTATATTGTTGCACGATAAACTTCACTTAACAAAAGCAAGAAAAACCAAATTCTATATATACCGAGTACAAAACTCTTGAGAATATCAAAAGCAGTCTACTTAATTTGTCGGCCACATGCATGCATTTTAATTGAAGAGTTTCGACGTCAACTTCTTATCCATCAAACATCCGATATTTTTAACGGCCCTAATCTGTCTAAATCTTTACTTTCCTCACGAATAGCGACATTTAGAATGCGTATCACTGTAAACATTATCGAGTTCCTGAGAATTTTCGAATTTTGATTAAGGTGAAGAAAAACGGTGCTAAGAAAAATTGACACATTTTGTAATTTTTTTTTCTCTACATAAACTGCATCTATTTTTCCGTTCAAACACTAAGCATACTTAACCACTGCACCTTCAGTCACAATCAAGTATGGCGAAAATCATCTTTCTTTTCCCTCCATCTCTGGAATGAATATAAAAATATACATTCCAGATATGTATTCACAAAGCGCTCCCCATACTCGAATGTGGAACACAATCACTTTTTTTTTCTTTACATTTCACTGTACACATGTTTATAGCGCCTTTTTCTTTTGATGTCACCACCCAAACACTGTCCTTTAAAAAAATCAGTCCTCACTTAAAAAGGAATAAACTCTCGTTGACATTATGGAAACACAGATAGGGTAAACTTCGTTTTACGATAAACAAATTTCTGTCTCTTCCTGGATTTACTCCTTTTCCTCACTGTCTGCACTTTTCGGCACAGTCCAAACTTGAGGAACTCGTAACTATTCACGGATTATTTACTGCACAATCACTTACTAAATGTTATGTCACACTAAAGAGAAATCTACAGAAATAAGTATCGAAACGCTTAATTATACATGTTTGCCATATCAAATATACTCTCTAAACCAGATCTTTCACATTTTTAAAGTTTTTTGAAAATCACCATACTCTCTTTATGACATATATGTGTCCTCTCATCATTATAGAGCTATACAATGAGTTTGCCATAATTTAAATTGTGCTCTTTTTGAATGTTGTCCACATAATCTTTTTTCTAACAAAGTATAATTTAGGAGCATACAGCTTTGTCGATGAAAATATGTAAATATCTAAGACTTAATATTGTTAAATTCTACAATCATAAAAAAATTTTTTTCGTTATAAACAAAATTGCATGTTTAGTTTTTTTTTATGTGCACATACATGTCTTAGAAAGAAATTCACTTTGCATTTGCTGAAAAAACTAAAGCAATTATATTAATATAATCATATGCATATCTGCAAATGTGAAAGAACGGTGCACAATATATCACTATCAATATATACGTATAGTTAATTAGTATATATATATATATATATATATATATATATATGTATGTGTGTATGTGTGTATATTATGTGCGTTGTATGTGTGTATAATACAAATAAAATCTTATACTACATTTCGAAGTAATCACACACATATTTGTGGTATATATAATAAGAATTACAATATTTCTAATATTCAAGACTCAATATAATCAATAAAGATCTTGCTGTTAAAAATATTATCGCTGGTAATCGCCATTATCTGATAAATGATTAAATAGAATAATGGGAAACAATACCAACATTGTGTTTTTTGATAGAAAATAAGTATTCTAATCTCTCTTAGTATATATTAGCAGTTAGTATCGATAATATACCTTCATGGAAAAGCGCGATTCTTCTGGAAAAGTTTATCATATAAATCATATAAGATTATATCGTACAAAAAATCAATTCTCTTCGATAATATTTTAAAATTGAGTCACTCATCTACCATTGAGCTTAATTAACTATACAAGAATGAAGAGATCTCATGATAACGTGCGATAAAGATTCGCGTCATCAAATTTCGAGAATTTATCCAATTGATATAGATTTCATATAATTCTAGTTCACTGGTAAACTCGACTCAAATGTCAGACGTCGCGAATTTTCATCATCCATCTGATTGTGAAATAAAGTTGTTAATGTTTCCGACATCTCAAGTCAACGCAATATACATTCGTGTGTAAAGTAAAGTATCAAATATTATTAGCTCTCCTATCTACGATCATATAAGATTAAATCTCCCGTGGCATCTGTGGAAGCATCGGTAAAAAGCAAAATACTTACATCAATCAAAAAACACAAATTCTCCTTTTTCTACGTTCTGTACACTGTTTAAAGAATCTTTGCACTTACGATATATATAATCATACATACACACACGAGACGAGATATTAAAGGTTTCTCTTTAGGCGCTACCCCCCTTAACCACTACAATTACCAAGTGGTCCTCCTTAAGACTCTCCTCGCTTAAACTAGGGCATGTACGTTTCAAAAGTTCCGTCGAAAATGCACAAGGCGGGAAGGCGTAAAGAACACCGGTACCTTCTGTATCTTTGTTCAACAGCGATATCACACCAGCAGCCTCCTTCTGTTTTAAATAAGATACAAGATTGCGCAGCGGCCGTGTCTGTACATTAGCATCGTCATTCGTGATCGCAGTACTCGAGCCAGCTAGACCGAGGAAGATGGCATGCGAGCTCGACGTCTGAATTCTTTTAGATACATCGTCCAATTTCGGCTGATCGAGGCGCAGCCGCTGTGTTATTCGTAACATATGTTTACCCTCCTCATCTTTCATGAGGGAGTCAATTATCTCTGTCTCGCCGTCAGTTAAATGGAACTTGGCCGGAAACAGCGAGTTCTTCAGTATCAATGCACCTTGCCAAACGGCGATAGATTTGCGCGCGACATCCGGCAGCGTGCGAGATGTCGATAACATTCCGCTGCGAGTGTTTTCGGAGTCCGAATCCGAGTCCATCTGTCGTCTGCGTGGCGAACGCGACCTCGATCTATCCACTCCTGGTTCGCGTGATAATGATCTTCGCAGTCCGCGAGGTGTCTCGTACTCTAATTCAGGCGGTGGTCTTCTGCTCGGCCAGTCGGCCTCATCGCGCATGTAACCTTCGGGATAAGAACCTCTGTAGCCACCTCGAGTGTTTCCTCTTCGATCGTGCCACGAAGCGTTACCTCTGCCGCCACGGAAGCCCCTCGGCCCGTAGCCGAACTCTCCCTCAGGCCCATAAGGATCATATGGTGACTCATAGTCGACTGGACGAGGCCTGAAATCGCTATTCTCTTCGGGATACGGTCTGGGTTTGAAACCGAAGCCCGGTGTCACATCAGCAAAGTCCACTCTTAATCGACGATCCGGTCCACCGAGCGGAAAACCGCGCATCTCTTTGACGGCCGCTTGCGCGGCGTCGATGGAATCATAAAGTATATAAGCATTACTGTCGCCTTTAATGTAGTCGATTTTCTTGATTGCACCGAAGCGATCGAACTCTCGTTCCAATTGCGGCACAGAGGTCCATGGTCCTAAACCGCCTACCCATATCCGGGTGGTCGGGGTGGCTTTACCGTAGCCAATCTTACACTGGAACTTGCCGATATACTGACCCGACAATTCGACCTTACATCGGTGCGCCATGTCCAAGGTCTGAAAACGCACAAAGGCGTATGCGTTTCCAGTACCTGGAGGTGGACGCTTTATATCAATGTCATCGACAATACCGTATTTGCTGAAAATACGGCGCAACTCCTCCTCCGTAATATTAATCTCCAGATTACCGGCGAAGAGAGTTCGAGTCGCGAGAGGATCGTCCTCGGGAGACACATGATGCAAATAATTGGGAAACTTGTCTTTCTTATTCTCCACGCGTTCAAATCCATGCCCCGGATGGCGTATCATCATATGCCGAGGCGGACCGTAGTGATGAGGCGGTCCCGGGTGAACATGCGGCGGTCCGTGAGGATGTATCGGAGGCCGAACAAACTCGTGATGCGGCGGTGGGATAGTCTCGCGGCGCATCTCCCGGTGCGGAGGCAGATTCACCGGCGGTCCGTATACGCGTTCGTATCTGTCGATCGGTCTGTGCCTGTCCGTAGGTCCCGGTGACCGGGCGTAGTATCTCTCGTAATCCGGCGGCGTGATGGATCGTGGACGACGATAATTATCGGCCCTGTCGTACACAGGCTCCACTATGGCCATCTTATCGTATATGATGATACGAGGTTTTGCGTGCTTCGCGTCTCGGGCATCCTCCGAGCTTCTGAAGCAAACGTATGCGACCCGTTCATCCGGCTCGTGCGAGATCTGAATAGAATAGTCACCGAACTTTTTGTATTCCCTGTACAAAGTATCCTTGATCATCTCGTCGCTGGCCTTTGGATGGATGGAACTGACGCAGAGAACCTTGTAGCTGTAGGGCCGCTCCCGTGGCAAATCGCGCGGCGGACGTAAGTACTCATCGCGATGCGAACTGGATTCGACGTAGCGCGCGTGAGAGGATGCTCGCGTAGGCGGGCTAGGACTTCTGGCGCCTCGGCTTCGCCGTCGAATTCTCTCTGGAGTGATACGTTCGTCGCTAGAATCCTCATATCTAGAAATCATATAAAATATGAATTTCAATAACATTGTCATTGTTAAAATAATTTACGTTAAATTTCCACAATAAATAGATTGAGTTGTATTGTAAATATTAAAACGTATTATTGATAAGTAGAAAAATATAAGATATTACAAGTAGTCTTGCATAACACAACAAATACTAAAAAATTTAAATAAAATTTTACAAGAATTATATATATATATAAAAAAAAAAAAAATACAGACTCATGTTTTTTCTCTTAACGACATATCAATTATCAACACAGATAAATAAATTTTTTCCAACTGCAGTAACATCTGGTTTACTCCATACACAATACACATATACATAACACACGACCACATATATTATCGTAGTACAGGAATGACAAAAAAAAACACGACACAAATATCATCGTAGTACAGGAACGACCAAAAAAAATCATCACACGTCACTAACGCGATATATCACCATTGATTCACAGTTCAACGATCTCGTCATGGAGTGAAACGGAAGGGAGGGAAGAAAAAAAAATAAAGGCGTATAAGAAGGAATGCGTGTAACTCGTATCGCAAATAAATTATCGAAGGGACACGTGTGAAGTTATCGCCAAGGAAACACACGTCTATCCCACGTCCGAAAGTCCTTCCTTACCGTCCCATCGAGGATCGGCTCCGCTTCACACGAGGAGGCGGAGTATCGCGACTCGAGCTCCTCTTCATGTTGTTGCGGATCTTGACCGTGATTTTGTGTCGATCGTCCCGCGGAATCCCAATCATCAACGCTGCTTGCTACACCGTAACTCGACGAGGAACAAGAAAAAATAAAGAAACGCGGGGGAGGAGGAGAGGCGCGGGCGACGGCGATCGCAGCTTTGCAAGAAGTACTGCGTACTTTTCGTAAAACGACTTTCTTCGCCGCTGTATCTTACTGGGCAGAAACGAGCGAACAAAATGGCGCTGTTGGGCGCTGTTGGCCACCGTTGTCGTCGTCGTCATCGCCGCTCTCGGCACGGTTTGTCGACGCATGCGCGTATTCACTAATCCACTTCCGTTCACGATGGGTGCGTTCGGGAGACACAACCGTTGGATAATTGGTTGGTGATTGGTTCTTACTTCTAGAACCAACAAATCAACGTCGAGTGTTGAACACATCCGATGGCGTTTGATCGCGCGATTTTTAAAGTCACATAGGAACTTTCTAACATGAATACACATACACGATTAGATATCAAATAGAAAAATTATCGGGACTTCCTGATGAAACTCTAAGATTGAAACGTAAATCGAAAATTTTTTTTGTAGTTTAATTAAAACCACATCAACTATATTTTATACTTTCCATATATTTTTTATATATATAAATATATTTATTCAATATTAATTCGTTTAGGAATTATGGGAAAGCAGATTAATGTTTCGACAGTTTCATTTTAGCATAATATATAATAAACAATATACATAATATACAATAAAAAAAATCAAGCTACAAGAGCACTGGCTGTAGAACTTTCATATTTCCAATTCGGCGGGAGAGATCCTTTCGCTTTATAGTAACGTGCCAGCCTGTGAATTCTCGATTCGACAAGAATCAAACGGAATTTACTGTCCTTATCCTTGCGATTTCGCTCCAAGTGTTTGCGGACAGCGACTGCCTTTTTGATTAAATAATACAAATCTTCCGGTAAATCTGGGGCCAAGCCCATGCTTTTCACAATGCGCAGGATCTTGTTTCCTGTACGGAATCGCACTTGGGCCACGCCATGCGAATCACGAAGTATGACACCTGCAGATATACGATACCAATTTTTGTTATTTTTCTTCATTTTAATGATTTAATTTCATAATAATTTTATTTCAATAATTTATAAGTGTCCAGTGATTACTTATTGTGAATTGACAAGTCATCATATTAATTATTAACAAACGTACCTATCATTCTATCATTAAATTATATTACATTTATATATATTATTTATATTTATTATATATTATTGTTTGTTAAAAAAGTCAAATTGCAAAATGCAAGATCTCTTGAATAGTTTGCTTTTACATGTATTAATTTTCCCAAATTAATAAGAAACATATATATCTTCTATTTTTAATAATATAAATATATTATTAATATTACCAATTTGAGATGGTGTATGTCCCTTTTTTGCTAGTTTGTAGATAAGTTCTTTGCAATCTTCCGGTGTCAATTTCAACCAAGTTGGTACACTTCTTCGATAAGGAAGCGCAGATTGGGATATACCCTTTCTAAAAAAAATAATAAATGCATTATATATCAGTTTTTAGCATCACAAAGATATTTCTAATCTAGCTATATTATAATAAACCAGTTTAATTTTGATATAAAAACCGATATATATATATATAAAGTATTAGAAATGAGATTTCTCACATAAATCAGTTCTAGAAAATTGAAAAAAAAAAAAAAATAAGATAATAGAGATTGAAAAAGTTAATCATTTTCTTTCTGTTATGAAATTTATAATAAAATGTTTATACATATGTGTATATATACAACATGATGCATTAGTTCAATTTAATCTAACAATAAGATCAATATGTGTGCTTATATTAGTAAGGCAAGTGCAATTTTTCAAATATTATGTTGTCAAGTATGTGTCTGTCAGACAGATTGGCGCTATAAATCGACATATTTGATTCAAACGAGCTATATTGCCCCGAAAAATTCTAATTACTAAAATGCTCGACGATTACATGTAATCTAGCTGATAAATCGAAGAATAAAGATTTACTTATAAGCGCGAAAAGTGGAAGTTACAAGCGCGTGGTCGCCGAGACATATGTCATTTTGACGCGCGCGATGACGCTGTTAAAATTGCGAGCATCGCAATAAAATTCGAAAAAGCAATGTCGGAAATAAACAATTTTAGCGACGAAATAAACATATCGTTACCCATGTGAGTGCATACGACCCATCTTGATGATTTTTTTCAGAAAGACGGGAAAGACAGTAATGCGATTTCGCGACTAAATGCTTATCCATAAACAACGTATTTATGTAGATAGCATAGTCATATTAATTAAATATATGCAAGGAAATCAACCAATCATAGTCCTTAAAATAACAACGTCCGACTATAGCCAATATCCAATAGCAGACGTTATTTCATAGAGAAAAATGCATCCAGCAAGAAACATACATAGAAAGATTTCCGAAACTTTAAAAATGCTGTATACCGATAGCCAATTGCGTCTACTTGTGTTTTCTTGCTATCTATAGTCTATAGAAAACTTTACAACATTGGGTCTGTTCTTTATAGCTGAACTGGCTGCACTACTTCAGAGTTTATCTTTTTCTCTCCCTATTGGAAGGAGAAAGATAAGCTCTGAACTAGTGCAGCCAGTTCAGCTATAAAGAACAGACCTATTGACAACTGTCAAAACATTTGTCTCTGAATATACAGGGTGTCCGGTAAAGATTGTGCCAACGCTCGTGAGCGGCTAGAGCACAGTAAACTGAATAGAAAAGTCCTGTAACATTTTTTTATATAGCGCTTAATAAAGGAGTTATTATTGAGTAAAATCTGATCAATTAGAGCCGATTTTTAGCCGGACGCACGTCGGTGAGCCGCCCGCCTGATAGTATGCGGCGGCGCACACTTCACAGCGCGGGGCTCACTGACGTGCGCCCGGATAAAGGTTGGCGCTGATTGGCCAGACTTTACTCAATAATAATTCCTTTATTACGCGTTATATAAAAAAATGTTACAGGACTTTTCTGTTCAGTTTACTGTGCTCTAGCCGCTCACGAGCGTTGGCACAATCTTTACCGGACACCCTGTATATTCAGAGACAAATGTTTTGACAGTTGTCAATAGGTCTGTTCTTTATAGCTGAACTGGCTGCACTAGTTCAGAGCTTATCTTTCTCCTTCCAATAGGGAGAGAAAAAGATAAACTCTGAAGTAGTGCAGCCTGTTCAGCTATAAAGAACAGACCCAATGTTGTAAAGTTTTCTATAGACTATAGATAGCAAGAAAACACAAGTAGACGCAATTGGCTATCGGTATACAGCATTTTTAAAGTTTCGGAAATCTTTCTATGTATGTTTCTTGCTGGATGCATTTTTCTCTATGAAATAACGTCTGCTATTGGATATTGGCTATAGTCGGACGTTGTTATTTTAAGGACTATGATTGGTTGATTTCCTTGCATATATTTAATTAATATGACTATGCTATCTACATAAATACGTTGTTTATGGATAAGCATTTAGTCGCGAAATCGCATTACTGTCTTTCCCGTCTTTCTGAAAAAAATCATCAAGATGGGTCGTATGCACTCACATGGGTAACGATATGTTTATTTCGTCGCTAAAATTGTTTATTTCCGACATTGCTTTTTCGAATTTTATTGCGATGCTCGCAATTTTAACAGCGTCATCGCGCGCGTCAAAATGACATATGTCTCGGCGACCACGCGCTTGTAACTTCCACTTTTCGCGCTTATAAGTAAATCTTTATTCTTCGATTTATCAGCTAGATTACATGTAATCGTCGAGCATTTTAGTAATTAGAATTTTTCGGGGCAATATAGCTCGTTTGAATCAAATATGTCGTGAATAGAAAAGTCCTGTAACATTTTTTTATATAGCGCTTAATAAAGGAGTTATTATTGAGTAAAATCTGATCAATTAGAGCCGATTTTTAGCCGGACGCACGTCGGTGAGCCGCCCGCCTGATAGTATGCGGCGGCGCACACTTCACAGCGCGGGGCTCACTGACGTGCGCCCGGCTAAAGGTTGGCGCTGATTGGCCAGACTTTACTCAATAATAATTCCTTTATTATGCGTTACATAAAAAAATGTTACAGGACTTTTCTGTTCAGATTACTGTGCTCTACCCGCTCACGAGCGTTCGCACAATCTTTACTGGACACCCTGTATATGAAAAAAGATAATATGTGAAATATATATGAAAGGAATTAACCAATCACGTTTCCAATATAAAGGATTGAAAATATGATTGATAAAGTTGGAACGTCCTGTATTTACAGCGTCTTTCAAATTCGAAAACTTAGATGTTTCTGTTACACGAAAGTTTAAATCTCAAACTTTTTATCTAAACATATATTTTTGGTTTAGAAGAAAAACAAATTGATATTGATTGTATCGATATTGTTTATTCCACTTTGCTACGTAAATTGTTCATGGTTTGTTATTATAACAGCAAAACGTGTATAAAAATAGACGATTTTTGTAAAGTATCGTTATATTTGCCATCGTTATTTATTGCGGACGATATCGAAGCACGAGAATGTTGACGACTCCAAAAAGAAAAGGTGGCCTATTTTTAGCTTCATCCCTTTGCGATGGACTTGAGGACAATAATATAAGGCAAGAGATAATTGTTGACAAGAAATTATCAGAATTGCATTGTCTTAGAGATTTCTTAAGAAGATAGAATTAACTTACAAATTTTTTATGTACTTACAATTTCTCATATTAGGCAAGTGGCGACCCTTCTGTTAAATAAAGATGCAGATCCCAATGTCTTAATTCCAACGCACGGAGTAACTCCATTTCACTTAGTTATCGGGAATGATTCAGAAGAATTTGCAGAAGAAGTCACCAAGTTATTTTTACGTCATGGTGGCAATCCCAATGTGAGGTATGATCATAAATTTAGATTATAATAATCTTGTAATTTAATGCAAATATGTAAATGTAATAATTTCAGATCAAATGATGGAATGACTCCGGTTCACGTAGCAGCAGCTTGGGGAAGAATAAATATATTAAAGTTACTTTTAGCAAATGGTGGTGATCCATTGTGTTTGGACAATGATGGACGCAGTCCATTTCACTATGCTTTTGACGGAAAATATTTCAAAGCTGTGACATTGCTCTCAAATCATTGTGAGAACATTCAAGATGAGGATGACAAGCCAAAGTATAATATGGCGCTTGGTAAGGGGTTTCTTTCAAATACTTAATTCTCAGATAATCATTGAATTACTTATAATCTTTATTGTTTGTGTGTTGCAGATAAAGTTTTAATTACTAATGGGGACATTATTGCTGAATATGTTGCATCGAAAGATACAGTATCAAATTTAAATAATATAACAATGAAGAATTTGTTTACTGATTGTAAGTCCAACTCTTCCTCAATGATTGTAAACTTGAATAATGCATCAGATGTACATAATATTATTGAAACTGAATGCAAACTATCAAACAATCCAGATGAATATGCCTCTAGAACTACTAATACAATGACTGCTCAACTGCAAAATAATCTTGTACTGACTGATAAGAAAGAAATGTCAAACCATTCATTCATTGATCTCGATTTTGACTTTGCAAATCTACATCTGTCTGATGTCATGCAAAAGGAAAAGTGTCTTGTTAGTCAAATCATTAATCATCTTTCATCATCATTAGCAAGCGATTGTACTATTAACGAGACTTTGCATAACTGCAAAAGAAACAAGCGCGAGGAAAGTGATTTTGACATGCCATTTAATTTAAAGAAGAATGAAGGTGCACATTATAAACATAAATATTACAAAAATTCAAAGGATTACCAATATAAACAGCATAACACTTCTAATGAAAACATCTTAAAACTTAATATTCCTAATGTGAAAGAACAATATTCAAAATATAGTGCACAAAATGCTTCTAGAAAACAACATAAAAAAAATTCTAATGAGATTCCTGTGACACCATCTTATATCTTGGATAATTCTATTGTTAGTATGTCACCGAACTTTAATACACCTAATCATAGAAAAAGAAAAGATATTGCAAAGACACCGTTAACACCGTCATATATTAACAATGATTCTATTGTTAGTAAGTCGCCCAATTTTACAACACCGGTTTGCACAACTAGGAGAAGAAATCTAGCAAAGACATCTCACGCCAATGATTATTTTTCCGCAAATATTTTCAAGAAGTTTCGCAAATGCACAACTCAAACGCAATATCCCGAGCTTAATTGGCAGAAAAAACATATTGCACAATCAACGCCAAGAAGGAAGAAAAGATCGATATATAAGTTGCATTCTGGTAAAAAAAGATTTAATCCTTATCGATATGAAAGCGATGTCACTTCTGATGAATTTACTGCTGGTAATAAATTAAAACCAGTTGATTTGAATAAAACAATATTCTTCGAGGAAGCTGAAGATATTCGTTATGATATCCTGGATACAAGTAGTGAATATTCATCATTAAATATTAAAGAATCTTCGAAAATAAGATTCTCGCAAAGTCATTGTAACAATCATGTGGTAACAAAGTTAGATGAGGGAAGATATGATGAGGATGGTAAAGTATCTGATAACAGTGAATCAAATCTTTTAAACAACAGTTTTAATCAAATGGAAAAGGAAAACAAATCTGTTAACAATTTTAAAAAATATGTGAAATCTGAAAATTATCAAGTAAACACCGAACAGTTTGTAACAGTTAGAAAAAATATATTTAAAATTGATAAGGCACCGGAAATGACGAATGCTTTCACCAATAATATAAAATCTACATGTACAACTGAATCTGATATGTTGGATACAGAAAATTTTATAGATTGTGTTGACTGTGATACCAAGAAATTATTAAATGAAGATCTAGATATGAATATAAGTAAGACTTGTAATTTACATGCTAAAAATTGGTTCAATAATGAATTTCACAAGTCATATAAATTAATTATAGAGAATAATTCACTGTCAATTGTAAACTTACCTGTACAATGTAAAAAACAGATTTATTTATTGGACTCTGAAAAATCATCTTCCTCGAGATTAGAGAATAACACTGATTTCAAGAAGATGGAGAATATGCCAAAAGTCAAAGGCTTAGATATGTATAAAATCGAAAAAAACTCGTGAGTATAGTGCAATATTTCTTAATAACAGTACTTTTCAAAAGTGTACAATTTCTTACTTAAATAAAATGTGAGTTGTAGGTCTGTGCTTTCATATGTTAGTACTCAAGAATATAAATATGAAGATCCAGAAGAAGGTGTAATTTTATTAGAACGGCGACTTTGTATCACACCATATAGGTGAGTTTACAATTACAATCTTTATCTTTTGGAAATAATTTATATGAAATTAAATCATTGATATAATAGGTCTGTTCTTTATAGCTGAACTGGCTGCACTGTTCAGAGTTTATCTTTTTCTCTCCACATTGGAAGAAGAAAGATAAGCTCTGAACTAATGCAGCCAGTTCAGCTATAAAAAACAAACTCAATATAATCATTGTGATAATGCTCATTTTATTTACAACAAGTGGGGGAGATAAAACTTATCAAACATAATTGTATCAATTTTTCAGTACTTTAAGCGAAAGTGAATGTGACGTCAAGAGCAAATTGATTATGTCTGGTAAGTTAGCAAGAATTTCATTGACGTATTATTATCAAATATAAAATTATTATTTATAGAATACAATTGGAAAATATTTTCTATATTATATTATTAGGTGCATCCAGTTCTCAAAATTTACCAGTTGAGCTATTAGTCATTGATGATGCTACTCTTATACGAGAGCTTAGACAACTTGGTGATCAACCTGGTCCAATCACTGATACAACTAGACAGCTTTACCAAAGACGTCTTATGCGTTTAAGAAACGTTAGAGATGCTAATATTCCATCGATCTCAAATGTCCGAAACATCTCACAAAATCACGCAGAACTGAGTGACCGAATCAAGTCTTATTTAGAGTTTGGAAATTGGATAAATCATGTGAATACGTACAAAAGTCTGGAAAAACATGTATTCCAAGAATTTGTATCTCCAGATCCATCTCGGAGGTGGCGCGAAGGCAGATCAAAAACGTCTTTCAATTATTTGCTATTAGATCCGCGTATAACGCAGGATCTACCGAATCGTAGTATTCATCTTGCAGAAGCTGAAGTTTGGTCGATCTTTCTTAACGCTATATTTTACATTGGCAAAGGCAAACGTTCCAGACCTTTCGATCATCTTTACGATGCATTTAAAACATGGGTTGGCAGTTCAACTATTACAAATAAAAAAATTAAATGCATTCTCGATATATGGAACAGTGATCATGGTGTGGTCTGTTTACATGTTTTTCAAAATGTTATCCCGGTGGAAGCTTATACAAGAGAAGCTGCTATGATAGATGCAATAGGAATGGAACATTTAGATAATTGCAAGAGCGGCGAGTACTACGGCGTCGCGGCAACATGGAGCATGCAACAAAAACAGAAATTTGGTAGATATTTATTGTACAAAGCTTTGCAAATTTTTATGCAAGAGGGAGAAAGCCAACTTTTTCCCCAGCATTTATAAGGAAATAACGAGATATGTGTAACAAGTTAGTCAAATTTTAATATCTTGTCACATTTTATCCATGGCAGTGATATAAATATGGTAGCAAACTCTATTACATACGAATATTGATATACAGGTAATAAAATTATTATTATTATTGCTTCTGTCAATTAATTATGTTTTCAAATAATATCAGATATGCAATTTATAAAACAAATATATAAATATATGTAAAATAATTTTATTAAAATGAAAAGTGTGTTTGTCACAAGAGCTCTAAGTTGACGTACATATTAAGATTATAATATATTGTAATATAATAATAATTGATAATATAATAATAATTTATAAGCACACACATCTTTATTTATTTCTATTTTGTATCTCTTTTTTGTAAGAAAAATTGTATGATGTTATATATATGTAATTTAAAAAAAATGGAACAAACTATATCATGTAAATATATAAGCAATTAATTTATACAGACGGATTACATGAAAATTATCTTTGTAAAACATTTATTTATATATTTCCTAAAAAATAACTACATGTATAAAGCAAATTTAAGAAAAAAGTACTTTTCTTTTAGCCAAGAGATTTTTTCAAATCCCTTTAAAATATTAAAGGTACGGTCTGTCAGGTTCTGTTTCTTTCGCTTTTTTGTCTCTGCTTCTAGGATACCATCTGTTTTTGGTAGTGTATGTAATCTTTGCTAATTCATGCACAACCTCATCTGGTTTTTTTTTCCTAAAAACATCTGCGACGTCTTTTTCTCCGATACATAATACAGAATTATCAGGCTTCTCCTTAGGCAGAGGTAAGGAATATTCGTATGGAAATGGTTTCTCTGGATGCCAACAGACAACCATTCTATCATCTTCTGTAAATATTACTGCTTCCGAAGGTAAAGTACTGTACTTGACGTGTCTCACAGAATAGATGCAAGCTCGAACCGTACGCAACATAGGATTCATCTATCGTAAAAAAATCATAAGTATTAATACAATGTTACATACTTTTTATTCGCATCTTTTACATTTTAATTTTACATTAATAATCAAAATCCATTTGGAAAATAACTTATTTACATAGTTTTTTAAATATTTAAGCAACAGTTCTTTTAATTCTCAATACCTTGATATATATGTGCGATTTAATATACTTTTATATATTCTCTTCAAGAAGAAAATCCATGTAAATATTTGATTTTAACCTTATAAAATTGGTCGCATACATAGAGCTTATATTTTCATTCAAGTCTGCGGCCTGCGGCACTCGCGAAAAAACACTCTCCCATTGGATGTCATTGGAAATTGAATAATCCAATCAAATGTCTCCATTTCTCTCTCTACTTTACAATTTAGTTTTAAATTTATAAAATGCATTAAAATTCTTGTACAAAGTTAAAGAAATATACGTTTCAGGAAATATAATAATAAGAAATGAAATAAAATAATCTTAAAAGGTATATATTCTCAAGAGTCCACATTTATTGTTGCGACATGAAAATTGTGAATAACCTTTTGTTGAGTCATGTGTATCCGTACTAAACACATATGATCTATGGATGACGAGCGAGGACGCGTATAACGGCTGTGTGCAACAAAGTTTTCTACGTCGAGCCGATTCCCGATTTGTGGAAAAGTGCACGATCATTTGAGAGAAGTATGATAACAGCAGAAAACGTATGTTCGAGTATTCTCGCTCGAGTATTTCTGCGTTTCACCGGAACGTCGTAGAGGAAGGCACTTCGCGAGGTCATTGTACTTTCCTAAGTTGCGCGACGATGTATGCAACACGTTCCTCCACGAATGATGCTGATCGCTTTCCTCGTTCAGCGATCGACCTCGAACTCTTGTTACAATGTTGCAGCCGTCGATGAAGCTTCGCGGATTGCGCGATTCTTAATATTAAGACGGTCCGGACGAGTGTCCATAGTTTGTTGGACTGCATCGGCTTCGTAATCATTTTTCTCTCTCAGTGCTCCTCCGTGTCCGGAGGTGAATCGCCGCATTACTTTTGACGTGAACGTGCGATAAATTAGAGCCGCAGGATGATAATGGGCGATCAGTTTCGCAAGGTGGAGCAGTACTCGCCAAAGTCTTCGCCGAGGGGCGCGCGTTCCCCGGTTGTGTCACGTCAAGATTCCACGGGAACGTTGAAGACGACCATTTCCCTGGGAAAGAATCCTTCTATCGTTCACAGTGGACCTTTTTACTTGATGAAGGAACCTCCAGGTAAATGAAAGAGTCACGAAAGAAAGGAGAAAAGGAACTTAAAATCAATACTTATTGCACATGCATAAGTTATATTAATTACTTCTCTTTGTGCGAGCAACATATACAATTTTGGAAGTATTTAAAGAAAAAGTCATAATTTTATAAAGATAAATCTGTTACTCTCTTTTAGGGGAAAGCGAACTTACTGGAGCAACAAATTTAATGGCCTATTATGGTCTGGAACATTCCTATAGCAAGTTTAGTGGTAAAAAGCTTAAGGAGCAGCTATCATCTTTTTTACCAAATTTACCCGGTATTATAGACAAACCTGGACATCATGATAATAGGTAATTTGAATCTATTAAGAGAAATAATTGTAAATTTTGATTACTTTTTGTTTTATCCTTTTTTTTTTTTTAGCTCGTTAAGATCAGTGATTGAGAAACCTCCAATAGGCGGTAAAGAACTATTGCCTTTAACAAGTGTGCAGCTTGCTGGTTTTCGATTACATCCTGGCCCAGTAAGATATTTTCATATTACGTTGAAATATATATATGTATATATAGAATATTAGAGAAAAAGACAAATTACTAAATATATGTAATATAATTTTTGCAGTTACCAGAACAGTATAGATATGTTAATCAAGCTCCTCAGAGAAAACACAAAAATAAGCACAAAAAACATAAGCATAAGCCCGGAGAGGTGCTCAGCGGACAAGAGGTTGCGACGACGGATGTGGGCGGTTCCGATACGCATGAAAAGAAACACAAGAAACAGAAGAGACACGACGAAGAAAAGGAGGCTAGAAAAAAGCGAAAGAAGGAGAAAAAAAGGAAAAAACAGAAACACAGCCCCGAACATACCGGTAGTCTTACACCGTCTCAGCATTCCAATTCGTGATCTCTAACCTGTCCCTTTCAGTTCATGCCAAATCTCTAATCGAAATTTCGAAGCGTATGCTTGGATTATCTCTATGCGACTAAAATATATATATATACATATGTGCATATTTATTTTTTTTTTATTTAGGCGTAATAAATGTTGCTTGTTTTCAGCATTAGGTGTAATGATATGAAAGAGAAGAGAAAATATGACGAAAATGTGCAAATGATGTATATATATGCATATATATATATATATATACATACATATATACACGGTGAAGTTAGGTGCACGCCGCTGGATTTTCCAGGGTATAAAATAATGGATTTTTTTCTGTTTGCCTATAAGCCTGCTTCTAAAAAATGAAAAAAAAATTGTAAAAATCCTTATATTTTATGAAACGTTTTGCTCAATTTTTTTTTAATTTTATTCACGGCATACAGTTTAATCGTTGCAATTGATATAGCATAATTTGTATAATTTTTTGAACTTGATATATGTGTAATATTGTATCATCTCTCTCCCTCTCTTTCTCTTTTCTTAAATATCTATATATGTATATTTATGTATTCAAAAGTTGCCTATATTAGTAAAATGGAGTGTAAAATATGAACATGTGTAAAATAGCAGTCATGTGCAGGATATATCAATTCACAGATTAGTTTGCATACGCGTTATAGTTTGTAAGACGTTATATCGCCACAATTAAATTAAAATGTAAATATATTTGTTAAAAAAAAAGTGAGAAGAAAAAATATCACTATTCTGCATATTTGTTTATGAAATCCATAGGGAAACTTACAATTCCTATGATTTAAGATTTAAGTTTAAATGTAATATTTATAATGTAAAGAAACAATACGACAACAACCGACGTTTCCTTTGAAGTTTTAATTACGTTATATTTCTATACTTTTTCCTTTTATCAATTTGAATATTAATATACAATTAAACAATATTTGCATATATATTTTTTAAAATTTTATTCCAATATCGAGAAATTAGCCCTGAAATTTAAATTCGCAAATTATTTTATTATCTAGTTCTTGACAATATGTCCATCTTCAAAATTTAGTTTTCAATATTAGAAAACGATTTGACAAATATAACGCAATTTTAAAATAAAATTTTTTCTCTATGTTTTTATTTTAATTCCTATCAATGATGTAGATCTAATCTATTTTCAATCTAATATCCATCTCTAAAAGAATCGAAAATGGAGAATCGAGAATCACTATCGTTCTAATCGCGAACACGTTAAACATATGGCTCCAAATCTGCGTCTTTCAAAACGAAGTTCCGTCATTAGAATTCGCGTTGCATGAACAGTCCATTATCTTTATAGAATTTAACGAGATATTTTACAGATACAGATATGCAGCGTAATATACTCCGAGCGTCAAATTTCCAGTTATTGCAGAGACGCTTTTTCAAGAAATATCACGTCAGGGTTAGATTTGCCCCCAGCCCCACTGGTAATGATCGGCAAACATTATGCCATTATTTTCTCCTGCAGCGACGAATTAAATTTGCTCCTATTGTTTAAAGAATTAACTCTGATATTCAGATATTGAATGTCAATTTTCATTCACGTGTTCTAGGGCATTTGCACTTAGGAGGATTACGTACTGCGTTGTATAATTATTTGTTTGCACGTAGCAACAATGGTACCTTCGTCCTGAGAATTGAAGACACCGATCAGACAAGAACTATTCCTGGGGCAGTAGAGAAACTTCAGGATGATTTGCTATGGGCAGGAATTATTCCCGATGAGGATCCTACCAGAGGTGGTCCAACTGGTCCCTATGTGCAGTCATCACGACTTGAATTATACAAGTATGTGTTTAAGTGGTGAAATAAAATGAGAAATTGTCATTAGTTCTATTTATTTAATTTCTCAAATTTTTATAGGGAACAAGTGCTTAAACTCTTAAACAATGAGTCTGCCTACTATTGTTTTTGCACAGAGACGAGACTGAATTTATTAAGAAAGGAAGCAATGAAGCGTGGGCAAATACCTAAATACGATAACAGGTGTCAGCATTTTAGTAAAGATGAAGTGAAAGAAATGTTTAGGAAGAACTCATCTTATTGCATCAGATTTAAGGTATTATTTTAAGTTTTTTTTCAAACATATTTGACAAATGAAAAAAGTTTTAAAATATAGTTGTTTGTGCTTGAATATTTCAGTTATCCACACCAAAACCCTTTTACGATATGGTTTATGGAGATGTATTGCACGATATTACCAAGACTGAAGGGGATCCAATCATTGTAAAATCAGATGGCTATCCTACTTACCATTTTGCAAATGTGATCGATGATCATTTTATGGAAATTTCTCATGTCTTACGAGGTGTTGAGTGGCAGGTTTCTACACCCAAGCATATTATGCTTTATAAGTATGTAGTTTTACCTAAAATAATCACATATTTACATGTTTTAGTTTTTAATTTAATTTATATTTAAAAATTTTTTTCGAATTTTTAAATTTTAAATAACGTACAATTATAAATAGGCATATTTGATAGATTTTATCCATTACAGTGCGTTTGGTTGGGATCCTCCCATGTATGGGCATTTACCTTTAATATTAAATGCAGATGGATCCAAATTATCAAAGAGACAAGGTGACATAAAGATCGAATCATTTAGAGAACAGGGTATTTTTCCATTAGCATTATTGAACTATGTGATAAGCGCTGGCGGTGGTTTTCATAAAGAACAGCAAAATCAAGATCTTTACAGTTATCAGGAACTAATTAAAAAGGTATAAATATCGATAATAGAAAAATGTTTATTTTTACATAAAATTTTTTTATACATTACAATAAAATTCTTATTTATATATTACTACTTATTTATGTGTATTCTGTTTTCCATTACAGTTTGATATTAATAAATTAAAAATAAGTTCCGGCAAACTTATGCCTGAAAAATTATTAGAATTTAATAAATCGGAAATTACAAATTTACTGAGAAATGAGAAGAACCATAAATTTCTAATTGAGCGGGTTAAAAGATTAGTATTAAAAACATTTTCCAAAAGGTATATTTAATTTTGCATAGAATAATTAGTATTATCCCTCATTGTTTTCAGGAGATAGTGAATTATATTATTTTTATTTTAGAAAAGATGATGGAAGTTTGCAGTTAGATGATTATCACATAATAAGCACATTAAAATGGTCGCAAAACAGGATATCGACACTCAATGATCTTGTCAAAGAGGAGCTTGCATTTTTGTGGATTGTTCCAAATATTGCTTCTGTGCCACATATTGAACAAGCTGGATGCTCAGGTATTGATATATTTCTTTATACAAAAGTTATTTATTAATTCTATTTAAAGTTATACATTACATATTATTGTATTATTTCAGATGCGATTAAACTATTAAATGCAGAATTAGTTGAAATAGATGCGAGCAATTATAAGACAGATTGGATGATCCCATATCTGAGAGACTTTGCCGAAAAGCATAAAATTCCGTTTGCCGCTTTGATGAAAATTCTGAGAAGTCTTTTGAGTGGCTTAAAGGTAAATATAGCTCATATAAGTTCTTCCCATTGTGGGAAAAAATATTAATACATGCATAATATATATAAAATCCTGCATAGGTTGGACCACCCGTTGCTGAAATGATGGAAATTTTAGGAAAAGACAGAACATTGTTACGATTACAGCGTTGTGCTTCCTGAGAATTTACATATATTATTTAATCAAAGATTGTGATCATACTTTCTATTGATGGTAAGATATATCCGAAATAGATCTGTGATTAAATCTGTATGTTTTTACAGAAGACATACACCAAAAACGGTTATGCAAATATAATAAACTATTTGGTATAATATTATTAAAATATCTTCCACAAATAATAGCATTTTATTGCTGGAAATTATAAAAACAATTTTTAATTCTGACATAATCAATGGGATTGATACTCTAGTCAAGCATTTTTTGTACATAATTTAGAATAATTAAATAAAAAAATATTTTGCCTATATTTTAATATATTTATGGAAGATATATAAATAATGTGCGAAAGATATTCTGAGAGCAACTACAATATTAATATTTCATAATATTACTATTTATCAAAACATATGCTTTATAATCTTTAAATATATATATATATATATAATTAGTTAAGAAAATACTTATAAACTCTGAAATATGTGGAACTTTTTAAGATTTAACTTTATTATAGAATATTGATTTTTGATACAGTGAATAGTTTTTGTATATCTTCATTTCATATATATAATGTAATATATTATTTATAATAACACTTGCATACTTAAGTACAAAAAGATTATATATAATAAACATATAGAAATAATGCATAATTATTTTAACAAAACACGTACAAAGTGCATGTATACAACAAATTGAACACTTTTATTCTTAAATAGCTTTTTTGATATATTACTATGCTCTCCTTTTACATAGCAGGATTTATAATACATATTAAACATTGGCATAATGTATTCGATGTTAGCATTGTAGTTATTAAAATAAAATTTGATAATATCAGAGAGACAAAAATACACTTTATAATGCTAACTCTTTGATACACAATGAAAGTAAAAGATTTTTTCACACGCTGTGTGTAAATAATTGAAGATGTTTATTCTAAAAAAAGTCTGATTACAATAATAAAGTAGGATATTAAAAACTAGTACTTATTAATATCTCTTCATAAATCCTGCTATTACATCAAGATATTGCTTGACAAAAATTTTGCCAATTATTATTATTATGTCTGGTAATATAATAATTCTTCAGACTATTTGAATATAATAATTCAAAGTTTGGCATGTCATACTCTTTCAAAAGCTTTATTATAAAATTATTATAAAACCCATTTTAAAAAATCTAAACTTGTGCTCATGTATAAGATCTGTTATTAAAAATTAACAAATGTTTTTCTCTTTCATAAGTCTCATTAAAAAAATGTTTACAACAAAATGTTTTATATAAAATATTTTATATGTATCTCTCGGGAAGAGCATTCAATCAGTAAATACAATAAAACTTGATGCAAAAAAATTCTGAATATTATTTAATAAGTATAAATGAATATTATTTAATGAGTATAAATCCTATTTAAGTATAAACGCTATTCTCAGTGCAATTCAAGAATAATAGTATAAATATTCGTTATCAAAAAATTAAAACTCTAAATCGAAGTGCTTGACATAGATCGATTCACATTCTTATGTACTCATAAGCTTACATTGCAAAATCTTAATTTAAAAAGAGATGATACAATAAAACCTTACAATACAATTAAAATAATTATATTGCTAATATTTGGGTAAATTATATGTTAATATTATAGACAATAACTGTTCATTATAGATTAAGAGTCTTTATCACAGTACTTTTAGATTTATTTTGTAATATACTTATGGTCCTATTCTGTAAACAGAAAACTTTGTTATCTATTTTGGATGTCTTTATCGTGATCTGTATATTATTACGAACATTTCCACACAAGACTGTAAAATGTGTCAATTAATTATATTTAAATATAGATATTTATATATCAGTATATGTATGATTTTATAAAGAGATCTATCAAAAACAATATTGATAAAATAAGCGACAAAAACGGGAAGATATTTACTTTGATTTGATTTCCAAGAACAGAAAAAGCAATTTTTAGAATTTTCTACATCTCTCTCGCGAATAGTTTCAATATTAGCAAATATAATATTATTTCAAATTGTTCTAGAGATTCGCTATATACAAACTCAAATATTTTTAAGTACTGATTTCAAGCTAATATATATACTATGTGTAGAATATATATGTAATATAACACCATTGCTCTTATACATACATGTATATATGTTACATGCACATTTCAAAGATATTATTTAATTAATTAAGTCAATAATAGTTCTATATAAAAAGGAAACAAGAAAAATTAACACATCTGATTGAAGTAATAAAGGAACGATTCACTGTGTGAATACATATTTATAATTACTTGTTATAATAACACATTTTTTGCATTAGAAGATTAAGCAGCTACACAAAATTTATCACAGATACAAAAGAGTAAAATGCTTTTAAAATCATATGATACGTCTCAAATGTGAAAGAAATATTGAAAAACATACAGATGTGCGCGAGTAGGTTTCTAGAAAACTACGAATACTATTCTTCTCCAACTTCCTCCAAAGAGACTTACTATTACTTACTTTGATTACATATACATTATTAATAATATAATAAAATGGTATATTTTTTTCTAGGAACAGTAATTGAATATGTTAAATACATTCGTTTTTATGTAACATACCTTTCCAATGTTTTAAATTGTGAAGTATGCATATGTTATTAAATATTTTATTTTAATAAGTATATAAAACAACAATATATGTATATGTGTATGTGTATGTGTGTGTGTTCATTATTTTGGAAAGGAATATCTTACAACAATATATTTTATTCGTGCGTGTTATACACGATAATACGAGAGAGATTGTCAATTCTGTATATTAGGAATTTTACTGCAGAAAATATCCCCGACGAATATACACAAGATAACATTTACAGAATTATCTCTAGATTTAAAAAGGAGTAGAAGACTAAGTAATAAGAATTGACAAATATTATATAAACGAACATGGAGATTATTCAAAATATCAATTTTAAGGACACATAAACGTTATCTCTAATTTATTAATTTTATTTGCATTATTTTTTAAATTGATTTTGTTTTTTTAGACGTTCAATAAATTATCTCTAGAAGATATATATATCGAAGTAATTAAATTATATAAAGTTCATTGTTATAATGTTATATTTAAACGTTATAATTTCGATTATAATTTTTAATTTTTCTCCCCCCTTTCGTAAAAGGATATTAGATTGTATAAATTAAAAATCATCGAATGTAATATTATCCTATATAATACTGCATTACATTATTGCAACAATGTTATCTATTAAGATGCGAAATTCTGTTGCATGGCTGTAATGACATAAATTTTGTATAGTCATATAAAAAAAATATTTTTATATATAGATATATATGTATATATATATAGATATTGCGCGTTAGCGAAGTTTCGTATAGTTTAGTTTCGTATTTCTAAATTAACAATAAAAAAAGCATAATACGTAATTAATGCCATATCATTCATGTACAGTACATGTAACAGTATATGACTGTATTCCTTGTCTGTATGCAAGATTAGTGAATCTAGAGTAGGCACTTTTGTCCTTTCAGATATATATATATATATTGGAATGTAAAGAAAATTTTATTAAGTCGCAAATAACTTGGTTTTAAATTTGTTAACATGTTTTATATTACAAGTTATTATATAAAAGACAAAGATAAATGAGTCGTCGGTAGTGCGTTAATATCGGACAACCTGTGGCGAACTTGTGGTTGAACATTGTCAATAAAGAATCTATATTTTTTTCTGTGTGTTATGATAAGAATATATTTTACATTTATCTCTGCGTAATTGTTTTTAGTGTGTACTCACAGTTTGATTCTACTTTGTTTTAAGTTTGTCAGTTAATTGTATTTTATTTTCTATTTACTTTTATATTAATTAATTACGTGGTTTATCGCATAAACTAAATACACTACTGCAATATGCTCATCTGTGTGAGTGAATTACTCTCTGTATATGAGAAGTATAATAATCGAGATTCTTCAATTATCACATAATAACAAAATAAAAACGGGTCAAGAAACGGCTATCGGAAAAAAAAAAAAAAAAAAAAATTACATCTCCTTTATTATCAATATGAGCAAAATATTTGATTATGCTGATAGAAGATTATGCAAATGATAGCACATGGCCATATATGTATACATTACCTTTAAAAATAATTGTATAAAAATAGATAAATATTTGTAACTGAGATTATATGGGTAAGAAAATGAAGAGCTTTATTATAAGGCAAGAAGCTCACAAGTAAGAGCTATCCGCGAGTTGTGACCTACAAACCCGGAAAAAGAAAGTATTTTTATGTATCATATACACATAATAATGCTGTTTAAACTACTATAATGTATGCATTTTGCATCTCTAGGTTTTCTCTTAATTATCGTGTTTATTGCCATAAGAGGAGATATATGTAGAATCACTTTCATATACATCTTGGCCCAGACATTGCTTTTCAAACTAATGATTAATGTCGTCAAACAACCGAAAAAATCACAAATCTGTGTATATAATTACAAGATATCTATACATCCGTATATATTTATATTGCACACTACATATCGGTAGCTCGACGAAGTTATATATAAAAGACAATCAGAATAAACTGACCAAAAGAGTTAAAAATTACAGATGTTAAATAATTTTTATACGTCAAAGACAATAGGAAACGCTTCTTCAAGAATGTAGTACTCGCAGATTTAAGATACTTATGCCGCGCGTAAGATTTATGAATTTCGAACACGAAATACATGCAATAGTTGTTAAATATTTATGCCCGAGAAGTAAGTTTTTTATTCTAGGATAATAGCCCGTAATATAAAAAATTTACTATTTTACAAGAATTATCTATTCCGTATGTGTGCAATTTACACGAGACCTTTGTTATTTTCGTCATGGATTGCCTCGGTAAGAGAGAGTGAAGAAAAATTCATCCCCTTAGGAGATGTGACATATCTCATATTTTGTACTATATATATATGTGTGTGTTTGTGTCTGTGTGTGTGTGTGTATGGATGTAGTATGTATATATAAATAGAATTGCGCTGTAAATTTGTCGATGAGACAACAAATTCACTTCTTTGCTTCTTTTTATCATAATTTTAAGTATAGAGTAAATATTTGGCACAGGCAAAAAGTGATTTTCTTCTGTACGACAATGTTAAGGGATATAATTCTATAGTAATTTTTATCACCTAACATTGTCTTTTTTTAAAATATTTTAATATGATATCATTCGCATATGTGTGTCGGAAATTGCACATTTTAATTAACGTTTTAGGGCAAGAATATAATAATCTATCTATCTTGTTCTACAAATTGTTATGAAAGCTCTTTTTGTCAAATATTCAATTTTAAATTTTATCTTCTCTGCTATCGATTTACTACAGTTGCATATATTTTTCATTTGGAATGATGCGCTGAAGATATACTCTCTTTTGCTACTGTGTCAAACACTACCTAGGTATCTAACTACTTACGCAATCGTATTTTTGGCTCCGGAACGTGCAAAACTTAACGTCTCTATGTGAACGTAACTCGTGTAAATTCAATTGTTGAGGTCATTGATGGCTTGTAAGATGCGTTTAACGTGCCCCACCTTGGTGATGCCCAGCTCTTTTAGATCACGACGGGCTAGCGTTAGCAGTTCCCTGCCGCGTATGTCGTGGGACACGAATCTGTCGGCGTACTCTCCCAATTGCAGATTTTCTAACCAGGTGCACACCTCCTGTACGTCCCACGTGGTAACTTGATCTCGCGCCAGATGACCCGCGGCGCCCGAGTTCCCGGCAAAACGACGGAACTTTAACCAGAACAACCCTCGATGACGATTTTTTTTATCCCCCTGCAGATCCAGAGTTCGAGACGCCGGTTAGTACACGGTGTTAGTCAGATTAGTGATAAAGCGGCACGCTATCTTATGTATGACATACGTAAGAGACATGCTAGTCATATGCACAGGTGGAGAATTGCACTCGGACTTATGTGGGATTCGTCAAGCACACAGAGTAGCTCTCTCTCTCGAATGGTCTATAGTCTATGTGGTCATTTACGTTCACGATGGATTTAACGTAATCGCGCAAATACACTTCCGGTATATATTAATAAGAGAGACGTGAGATATTCCATTATATATTTATTGCTATATAATTCAGCGGGATTCACACACATATACATCCGCTACAAGATACATTTCTCATGAGGCTCGTATAAAATCACGAAAGTTCCCCTCTCGTTGTTATAGTGCTAATTAAATAGGGTGCAACGACTTCTCAACGAAATCATGAGAAACAGCGGAAGCGCGCGATGACAAAAGCAAAAGTTAAATGGTGCATACTGTTGCTTCTGCTAATATAAACTGAATAGATGCGCAACGTCGACTAAGACCGCTAAATATCGCATAATATATATCACATGTTTCGCTGTTGACTATAATAGGGAGAAAGACTAGAACCATAAGCGTATAAATAGGTAAATAAAAACATCTAAATGGAGCAATCCATCTCTCAGCAGATATAACATGCACGCACGATACATACACACGTGTACAAAAATAATCTGCATCATATCTCGCTACATTGCAAAACTAAGTCGCTAATTCTAATTTCTCTAACGTCATAAGCATTAAGACTTAAAAGCGTATTACCAGCACTGGGATTGAGCACTCAATCAATCCGAAATAAAGCATAGGATAATTTATTAATTATCGTTTGTAAACAACATTTATATGCATAATGAATTGTACAGTTCTCTTGAGAAGAAGAGAGTTGTAAATATTCTCGTGTTTAATGTTTGTAAAGAGAGGTGCTTTCATAATATTATATCCAACTAGCTAGTTCTCAAAATTTATTACCAAATGTTGAAAGAGTCTCTCAAAATATACTCTAGCGAGATGAAATATCGGACATGAGTAAAATATAATATAATAAAGAAACAAAAGATTTTATCGTCAATCTTAACAATGTATTAATGTGTTTCGTTCGACTTCAGTAATTTCGTGAAAAATTAGGTGCTACGGATGTAAGTAGAAAAATCTGTATCTCCCAAAATACATATAAATCTAATTTTCTAGATTCTGTTTAAACAAATAGCTAATTTACGAGAAACGAAATTTTCTTTACAAGTACTAATTTTAGTGAATATATATATATTGTGCTATCTCAATTAAATGTATAATAAATATCACAAAATGTAAACTCTTTATCACAATGCAAAATGGGAATCACGACAAAAATTAGAATAGAGTTTATTTTATAGCTCATATCTTTAAAGAATTGATCTCAAATAGCATTACATAAAGCATAAGAAAGAACTATACCTGATCGTCTGCGGGAGTGTTTTGCAAGTAAACCAGTCCTGTCCCTCTTTCATCAAAGGTACACTTTCGTAATTCCTGTTCCATATTAGCTAAAGATATAGATAGCTTGTTTTCCAAATCCTCTCGTAATCTCTGCATTTTACACGCAAAAAATAAATATTAATTTAATAAATTTATTAATGTATTACACAGTAAAATGATATTTAACCCACCATACCCACCAAGTTGTGAGCTTTATCACGCAGCAACTCGCAAGATTCTTCATATAATTGTCTCGCACTTGATACTAATTCAGTTACCATGGGTCTCAAGCTCGTCTATTAATAAATAACCATAAGCAAAAGGACTTATCATAATATCTTTCTATTCCTCGATTTTTTACTTAAATACCACCTACCCCTTGTAAGATTTTACCGTCCGGATGTACTTGTTCAAGCGCATTTGCTGTACGCGAGGCGACTTGATACAAATCTGGCTCGAGGCTCGGATGAGATATAATCAGTAGTTTTACCCACTTGACTAAAGTCGTCACTGCTTCAATGAAATTGAATAGAATAATGAGTTCCTCATCGTTCAACTGAGGCGGCTTACTACATATCGGCAAATGCGTTCTGGACTGCGATTGCGATGTACTGCTTAGAGTAGAAGTGGATTGAGTTACGGCGCTTAACGTGTTGCGCTGCTTCTCTTCCCACGCTCTCAGTGAAGTTTCAAGCGCCTGAGATGTAAAATATTTTCGATTACACGCGCTAACCAAAATTATTTTTTCTTATTGAGAAACCGCTAAATAGATACTTACCCTATTTCTATAAAGCATTTGCATGCGATTCTTATGTATAATCCTTATAATACCGGGTGGTTGAACCCAAGCCTCACCGTCGACCTGTATCGGAACACCTTCCTCACCTAGGATGTTAATCTGGACTGTCTGACACTGAGCTATTCTGTGATGTTGCAAGTTAATAAGCCGCGAAGCGGCCATTTGAACGGACCCAAAAACTGCCACCACTTCCAGTATGCGATCGTCGAACGATGGTGCTAAAAATAAATCTCCTTCCTTGGTACCGCCCCAGAAGTTCGTACCGCCCATAAAGCTGTTATTCGAGAAGAAAATTTAATATTAAATATTGTACATAGATGTATCTATCACTCTTCTTTCGCATTTACCTTGGTATATTTAACACAACGATTCCTTGTAGAGAAGGTAACGGTATCCTTTGACCGTCGCATTCCAACTGCACTCTTTGCTCGAGATTCTTATAAGTCTTTTGTAGCCATTGTTTAGATCCCAAAACGCCGTACCACATATAATTCTTAGCGCGCGATCGACATTTTTCAGGATGCTCCTCCCTCTTGTTGTGAAAATCGAGACTGATCTTTGCATCTATGCCAATTCCAAAATAATTATTCATGACGCACCGTTCGAAGTAGCCTTCCCTGTAGAATTCATAATAAAATTGATCATATCATGATTTTATATATATATATATATATATACTAATTACATGATACAACTTACATTAATGACTCGTCAGGATCCATTAATGGCGATACCGCTGCACACAGAGCGTCCGCGTTTGCCAGTAATGCTTGACTGATAAGACCAGCTCCACCGCTTACATCTGCAAGCACGTTTACAAAAAAACGTAAATAATTATACTATTACATAGGAGATATTTCGATATTTACTTGGCCACATCGGCAATCGGACCAAAGGATTTATTATTGGAAGTTTCTTCACATCCTCCGTTTTGTCGACAGATTTTGCTCTTTCGTGGCGCAAACTCATGCTCGAACCACCTAGACGAGCAGTAGTAGCTGCCAATGTCACAACTTCCGTTGCCTTCAATAAGCTGCCGCTACTGATACGCCGTGTAGCTTGCGGAGAAAAACCCGATTCGGGCAGTTCCACGCTTACTGCATCATATAAAAGTATGATCAAAATATGTAATTGTCATACTAATGATATATCAATTAAGGTTGAACTTACATCTTTCCATACTACTGCCGCTACTGTATTGTTTGTCATGCGGATCTAGGTTGTAATCCAAATTAAGTTTCTGATGGCTCTCAATCGACAATGACGGGCTTGGTGGATCAACGATAACACTAATCTGCGGCGGAAAGTTTATAGAACATTTTTCGTTGGCCTGCGTGTTGTCCGACAAGACGGTAAAGCAGCATACCGGACTTAGCAAATCGGACACTTTCTCCTTTTCAACATTATCGAATGGCGGATTGGCAGATACTATATTCGTTTCAACAGGTTGCATCGATTTAGTTCCCGACACACGTACGCATGTCGTCAAACCGTCCGTTTTATATTTATTTAGCATTCCCTGCTAATGAAAGATACATTAATTCTATACGTTCAATTTCACAAAAGAAACTAAAACACTTTAATGTTCTTCACCTCTTTATCCATCTTTATATTTCTCGTTTTGAAAGACTGCCTCGCGATGTCGTTCCCTTCGTTGAATTGGGCTAAACCGCAAGATCTTCGCGGTTCCTCGATTTCTAACCCCTCTCTGACAGAATCGTACTTCTCGCCCATTGCCGCGCTGATCACGTCCTGTCCGAGGGAGCTTAAATCTTCTAAGCCACTTTCCGAGTGTTGTGTCTCCGTAGAAAGTTTATCGGAATTATCCGGCGAGTCAATGTGCCCAATCTCCGAACTTTCCGATCTCTTAGTGGAATCGAATATATCACTGTCTATATGTCCTGAAAAGTGTGAGAGAAATTATCTAATAATTAGATATGACATACATGCAAAACAAGCGTTCTTACAACCTTTCGTATTGGCAAAGAATCCACCTACCAATTTCACTTTCGCTATTTCGAATGGTATAACTTCTGGAATCCAATGTTTCAGAAGCCATACTGTCCGTACTAATGATGCTGTTGGTACAACTACCTCTGGGTTCCAATTTGATTTTCGCGGGTTTTTGTGCGTGCTGTGGCGAGATATTTCTTGAATGAAGCGAATCTGTGTCAGGAGAAATGATAGTGTCTTGTATGGTCGCGTCGTCTGATGGTGTACTTGTGTCTAAAGTGGTCTTTGTCACGGTGATTGGGATGTCGGAGACAGGTTCTATTTGCGTATGTTCGGACGATAGGAAATTATCGTTAGTAGCAACTGTTTGCGCTTCTTGTTGACAGCCGGCAGTCTGTGCTGCGGGAGAGTCAAAACTGAAAACTCTAAAATTAAATCAAGATACATGTAACTTTGATAACCCAGATATTATAATGATTTACCGTCGAGTTTAAATCGAATTAAAAAAAGTTACCCTTGCGGCATGTTTTCGCTGTTCCGTCTACTGTCAGCGAAACCATCGGGCGCAGGGAGAGTAAGTAATTCTTCGGGTTGCGAGTCCCTCCTTAAATCCGGCATCGGGCTCAAGGACGCCACATTAGGAGTAGGACTTGGGCAAGGTGATATCTCTACGCTGCTACAGAATTCTAGAGTTGGCATTAAACTGATATTGTCGGATGTCGGGTCTGTTTGTAATAAGCCATGGATATCCAAATGTTGCTTTTTATCTAAATTATTCATTATAAGAACACAAGTTAAAGAAAGGATGCACGAATCATTATCCTCATAAACTAAAGAACTTACTTGTCGCAGTATTCATCGACGAATTATCGCATGTTATGGTGATGTTTGGCATTTTGCTACCTTGCTTCTCATCCGAGGGATCGTTCTGTTCATCGACGGCTAATTCCGTATGTTCCACTAATCTCCTGATAGCTCTTTTTAAGCTATTTGCTCTAAAAAAAGCATTGAAATATATATCTCTCATTCTATATTTTAATACAATATTATAAATAATGTGCGTTGTGTGTATACCTAGACATCACAGCATCTCTTTCCATGTAACATTTTCTTCTTATGACTTTTTTTAGATTCGTCATTTCCTTCTCTGGCTTTTCTAAAGCACCTTTCTCTTGGTTGCTGCTCAAAGTTTCAGTATTTAGAGTACCAATGTCAGTTTCTTCCACGTTATTAGACAAATAGTTTTCCTCTTTTGATAATGTCTGCAATAATAAGTCAAGTTTTTGCTGAAGAGTTTCACATTTTTCTCCCAATTGTTGGTCCCCTGTGTTTAGACTGGCTTCCAGTATATGTGTTGCAAAATCTTTCACTGTTTCGCATAAAACTCTGCAAAAAAAAAAAAAGATCTCAGATTAAAAATTTTGCATAATTTTACAATTGCATATATATACACATGTGATCAAAATTACTCACTTGGCACTAGATATAACTACACTCTCTTGATCGGATTGCAAAATGTTTGTTATATGAGCAAGAACGCTGTCCTCATACTGATGAGCTATATTCGATTTTATAGCCGGATCAGGCTGATGCAGAGTCACTTTGTGACATGGCAGAGATATGCTACGTTCGAACGTCATAATGCTCCATCGATCCAGCATCTTTGTGCCCGCTTTCTCGTACTTTTCTAATAGCTGAGGTAAATGCGTGTCATCGTCGCACGATGCTCCCCAGCCTAATACGCGCGCCAAGTCATTTCCCGTTCCTAAAGGTAGCACTCCAACTTGGCATTGCTTCTACAAATTTTGAAAACATAAATCAGCATGTTTTGTTACACATAAATAATTAATGTTTTCTATAGTAAATTTTCTTTCTAAATTAGAAATATATATCTCTTTCTAAATTATAAATTAGTCATGCATTTTTACACTTACCGCCTGTAAATAAAGTTAAGGAAGCTTCGCACATAAAGAAGCTTAAAGCACACACATCAGTTTCATCTGGAATAAAATCATAAAAGAGACAGGCCATGCAATTTATAATCAAAAATACAAAAAGATTAATACCAATGGCTGCAATATTGTAAATCTGAATATCATAGTATTGTATATATTAATATACTGTATTATAAAGAAATACATATAATACATATAATATTAAAATAATTTACAACAATGCTCTTTGCATTTCTATGCGCACACAATGCAAAGAAAAGTATCACTATACTAAGTTGCTGTGCAAAAAAATAAATATGCTTAAACAGATACAGTTTTGCATAGATGAAGCATAATTAGATTCGAAAGAAAATGATAATTCAACTGAAAAGTCATGCGCTAAAAAAGATAAATAAATAAAATTGTCGATTGTAAGATACTCACGTGCATTCCGAGTCGATCGATTTCCGAAAGCACCCACCCCACCGATCCATCTCCACTGCACACTAGTATCCGGAACGGGTCGAAGTGACGGAACAGTCTTAATCTGAAAGAAAAAAAAAAAAAAGATACAATTTGTATATTGGATATATGCCCATCTATGCAATTAATAATAAAAAAGAATAAATTTCAGATCATTGATTGTTATTGGCAAGGATTTGCTTACCCTGGACCTGGTCCTCCTTTTATAAGGTCGAACACTTGTGCGGGATTTAGTAATTGTTTAAATCTCCTAAGAAACTTAACACCTTGATTGTCACCAGATTTACTGTTTACAAATACTAAAAGTGGACTGCATCCCGTAGGTCTAACAGCTTCCCAAGCTTCATCGCTACCTGATAATTATTCAATACACAGTTTTGTTATTGTAATAAAAGTTTTCTGTTGTGTATTTATGTATATATGTTAATCATACACATATGTATTACATATGTAATTCACACGCAAAATCATACAATGATCATTTGTAAAACATAGGAAGTATAATTACCTATACTATGCAAAGCCGTAGGAGGCACTACACTGAGTTTAGCTGGTCCTAATGGACACTTGTTACTTATGGCAGGTCTGCACGCTGTGTGTACAGTTGCTCTGCACCATAGACACCGCCAATCTTGAAGCCTATGAATAACACGTCGATTTTTATGGTCGAACATTGTGTATTTCTTACGTAAAAATGCAATGTAATATATATACCTAAGTACAGAGCCACATGTCTTTTCACAGATAAAACATTTTGAGGACACTGGTAAATTTCCCTCCATCCACTGATGTGGCATTGTGATGTTCTATAAGAGAGATTAATTGTATTATGCAAAAAAAAATTCTTGTTATATTTATCAGATAATTATATGATGTATTATTGAAATATCCACAACTAAAATTATATATTTCTTTGATTATCAATTCTTATATAAAATCATTTTTAATTATAAGATTTTATGCACACATACCCCATCTTGGTCCTCAATGATATCTTTTCCAATGGATGCTAAAGTGGTCCACTTGCAATTATTTATTGCTTTTGCGCTACATCTCTTGTGCACTTTGTATTTACAGACTTCACAACTTAAACCATGGGAAGTAACACCTGTAACAATATTGTATTATATAATCGCTATATTTTAAATAATTTTATAAAAATTTTATTTATAGATATGTTGTTATAACAAAGAAATAACAATTTCTTACCATGCAGAGCATCTCTGCAAACATTGCAATATGTAGGTCTGGCATGATTAGTCGCATACCACTGATGGTTACCTCCTAGTAACTCGGCAGTTCCAGAATCACCCTGAGGTCGATTCTCCGTCGCTGTTCTTAGCGCGTTTAACCACTCCTCCATGTCTTGTCTATTTTCACCACAGATAACTAATGATCGAAGTGGAGTTATCACCTAATACATAAGAAATATATATTATATTAATTTTCATATTCTATAATATTTACATTATTCTGAAAAGAATGCAAGCACAATGTCAACAAATTTTAATTGAAAAATATATAACTATCTACAATATAACGGATTTTTTATTTCTTTTTTATCATATATTTTACTAATGTAAAATTAAAAATATTGTGACAACTAAAACAAAATTGTCACCTCTTTAAAAAACAGGTATATTAAATTAACTTCAAGGAATCTATTTTTATTAAATTGAAACAAAACGTCTTGGCTTTAAAGTCTAGAAATTCATAAATTATCACTCAGATATCTTCAACTTTTTTTAACTGGTTTAATTCTTGCATTAAGCACAAAAAGGATTGTGATTTAAATAGTGTTTCAAAAATATAATATATATAAATAGCAAAAACATAATTTATGATCAAGTATATTAATTATAAATACAATATAGTCTCATCCCCGTGTTACTTTTTTTACCCTGGAAATAAAGAGATGAATCTCACGAAAAGAATGTAGGATCCGTCATGAATCGACGGGTTTGCAATGCTCATTGTTATTCAGCCAACGGTCCATTGGCTTTAAACAATCGATAATAGCATTGTTACCAGATCGCGATAGGAAACGATTATTATGCAGTGGAACATATTCGGGCGACCTAATAACAGTGTCCGAAGACGCCGTACCGTCATCAGGTCACCACTCGCTTGCCTCATGGCTCGTCAAGCCTAACCTTCGCGATACCGTACCTTGAATCGGGAACGGGCTCTCCGTTGTTTCGACATTTGAGCTGCGACTCGCAACGCGTCGGCGACATTCGCGACACGATACACGATTCGCCCGCGGTATCGTTTATCACCCCGCCGAGTTTACCGCGACGACATCACGCGACGGCAAAGAGATGCAGCATCCGAGCTCGCTCGCCGCAGCGGCGACGGCGGCGGCGACGCATCGGTTTGTTTCATCCGCGATTCACGCCGTTTTTCTAGTTGCAGCTCCACCAGCGTGGCCTATTTCCCATGGCGCATGTCATGCTCTCTTGGTCATGTCGTTTATAAATAAATGTCCCACGCGCTTCTTCGTCGCGTGTCACACGCGCGCGATACCACGTGCGCTATTATGCACGACGCCGACGCGCGCTTTCACGCCGCCCCGAGTCACGAGGCGCGACGCGACGCGACGCGACTGTCAATACACCGCAACAGACGCGCCACGGCCGCCAATACACCGGCGGCGATCACGTGGCGCAGCTGTCAATACACCGGCTGAACAGCTGTGCCGCGAGGCGTTTATCGCTCGTGCTTATCTGCTGCCGCCGCGCGCGAAACAATGTCTACAACTCCAACGTGTCATATTATTGACAGGGTGTTTTCTGGAACTATCCCTTGATAGCGTGGGCTTTTGCCCACGCAGGTAAAGTTCAAAAATTTCACTATTCCTCTGCCGATGAATAGAGATTGTTTTCTTCTCATAATATTCGTGAAATAAAGAAATAAATCATTCGAAGGAAAGATATAAGTTCCAAATGTGTAGCTGCGGTTGCGCGATCGCGTAAATATCAGTGTGTGGACTTTTCATTTTTCGTCTTTCCAATCTCAAAATTTTATTTTTAAAAGAAGAATTGTCAGTTGTCGATCTCCGTCATCTTTGAAGGAAGCAAGAGAGGATTCGTTCGACTAATATATTCGTTTTTTGTCGCGTGATTCTGTTGGCGTTAAAATGTCTTTTAGGCAACTTTCGCGTGCCGTTTATAGAAGGGTAAATATTTCTCTATCACAAGGGTGAATGATACCATTCGGATATACTGAGCCTCTTTAGCTCAGTGGTAGAGCACTGGTCTCGTAAACCAGGGGTCGTGAGTTCAAACCTCACAGGAGGCATTTTTTTTGCTCACGAGAAAACAATGAACTTTTCCGAATTATTCTATCAATAATCAATGACAGATTGGCTCTCATAAAGTCACTATTTTCTTCAATGATTCAAGTATGATTCATGCAATAGAAAGTTGCTTATACAAAATTCAAGATATCTCGATAATAAAGTAGAGTTTTCGTATATCCAGAGTGTCAGATATGCGAAGCCTATATTGAATTATTATCCCAGTGGAATTTTTTATTAACAGATTCAACCGCGAGAAGAATTCGACGATGATCCCGACAGCAGTCTTTTGAGACTTGAATTTTTCATAAAGGGGACGATTATTGGACATCGGTGCAAATCCGTGGGAATTATTGACGAGACGTGGGCGGACATGCTCTCTGACACGCCAGCCAACAGTATATTTACTTTATTGTCGGAGCCACTTTTCCAGTCTCATGAGTTGGAAGTGTAGGTGTTGGATTCGACACCAAGTAGAACAAAGAAACTGTACCGCGCCGATGATTGAATGGCAGGTGAGATTGGCCCTCTCCGTCGGTCGGTCGGTCAGGTGGTTCTTTGTATGTTAACCGCGAATGTAATGCTTTCATCCCAGGAATCGCGATATCGAAATTCGAACGCGGTCTCTTTTGTCAACCATCAACCATCCGACCGCCCTATTCATCTCGCGTGCGGAAAAAGAAATGCGCGATTCTTCATTTTGCACGAATGTGCTCTCTCTCTTTCTCTCACGTGATGAATACAATCGCGCAACGTATTATATCTTCCGAATCGCGAGAATCACGAGGGAGCTAGGTAGATATATTCGAAATATCATGTATTCAGCCGTGAATAAAATAAAACGCCGCGTTTGTGTCCCACTTGGCGTGTCGTGAAATTACACGGGAATTGAAGTTATATTCGCGGAATTTTCACTTCGATAAGCAAGCTTAATTGTTTCCAAATAGCGCCGATATTGTTCCGTGCGATTGTTACGCAGTTCCAAACTGCTTTGGCCACCGACTATTGTTCGGAATAACCCACCGGTACAATAGAAACGAGACACCCACGGCATGTAGATAGCCGCGACAGGATAATTCCCCGTTGAGTGCTTGTAACTCGACCAAGCACCGTGATTCGCGTTCTGATGGCTTTAATAAGCGAAAAAGTACGTGGCGTGATTATTGCTTGTAACGTAATCGTGAATCACCTTATACATATATCCTGCAGGATCACGCGCCGATGTAGAAATAAATGCGACGGAGATAATAGTGTTAATGGATTTTCCTTGTAGCCCGACGCGCGAATATTCATCCTTTCTAAAGATATGCGAATGGCGGTTGTGCCGAATCGCGATCGAGGGAAAGATTCTATCTTTTGCATGGCATCTTTTTGCGCTTTCTTCGCAGTAAGCGTCGATTAATCATCGTCGAATAGTACGGCCGATTAATCATCGGTACGCGACGTACGTGAGAAATTACTTTTGTATCTATCGATGCACCTTTCGAGTTTTAATCCTTGAATATTCTAGAAGAAAGATAAGACTGTGAGAATACGGGTATACAAGTTGGATCGTAATTGATTACGACGATATAATATCCTATATCTAAGAACTTAAGAATAATTACTAAATTAACATAAAATAAAAAATCTAAGAAAATTATCAAATTAATCTCTTAATGAAGTTTTTTCAAGACTTTGAGAGTAACTTCTCCTCAAGTACTTAAAAAAGTATGTCAAATCATCTTTTTCTCTCTCTCTCTCTCTCTCTCTTGATTTTATTCTGGCTGCGAATACTTCACACTTAAGATAAAGCGATTTTAATTCATTATCAACTTTAATTATTAATCGCAAACCTTGGATGTATCCGAATAAAGATAACAGGAGATATTTAGGCACGCATTTTCAACTAGGTCAGGCCCGACACGGATACGCTCTACTTAATTCATTTAGACGCGTAGCTGAATGCGAGTGTCTAAATGAATTAAGCGTGAGTGCGAGCTCTCGCGATGCCTGTATACGCGGATTGAAATACTTGATATTATCACTCAAAGTATCCTCCGCGTTAATAAAAATGCGAGAGATATCTCCACGATGATAACAAATTTGTTGACGATTGAAAATCGATTCACATTGTACGATATAATGATAAAATATTCCTTTATAATTGTGTGTATAAACGTATTCTAAAAATAAATCACGTAAAAACAAATTTATACGTTTATACTTATAGAAGAATTCTATCACGTCGCGTATTATATCAATCAATATTGTTTCGGCTACATAATTTACCGTCAGATCTTTCCTAACTTATATAAGTACCAGTTGCAAAAACCTAAACTAAGCCGTGATTTAAACTATATGACAACAGGTAAATATTTTTCGTTAACATGGTCCACAAGACCATATATTTGTATATAAAACGCGATAAATGACAAGAGAGGCTAAAAAGATGCGGCTATTTATTTAGCTTGAATATATACCGAAGAAATCTTTTATCAATGTCTCTCTTTTTTCTTTGAAGTATTAGATGAACGAAGGTAAGAAAAGCGGGAGCGACTTAGCGTAACCGCGCCAGAGGAAGCCCCATCGCTCCTCGTTCCTCCTTTTTACCTTCGTCACCCTCAATATTGCGCGACAAAAAATGGACTACATTGCTCGGGTATGCTCCTCGTCTCTTTCTCGACCCTCTGCGTATACATCGCGCCATACATATTTTATGAACAAACGTAGCTCTCTCATAGCGTAAGCCGAGGGAGAAGAAAGAAAGAGAGTGAGAGAGAAGCACCACATCATGTAATTTCGGTGCGTAAGGGTTTCGAGAAAACGAGGCCGTTCATTGAAAGCTAGATTCTCAATATTGTATACTGGATGTTGTGAGCTTGCTTTTGCGCGCTGTTCGCAAATGACGCCGTGACCTTCTGACCTGGAAATCCATCCCATTCTAACGCGAGCTGCCAAATTCGCGGAGCTGTATAAGGATCGATCGTCCCTTAAATTACCGGGTGCTTCGGCCGCGCTATTGCATTAAACGGGATATCGGTCTTTCATCTATCAATCAAGTCCACTGCGTATATCAGCGTTGTGCGATAAATGGCACGAGATCCCTCGCGATCGACAGATAGATCGGGATCGTA